TTTTAAGTCTTATCTGGTGTGTTTTTCAGTGTTTTGATGAGTGATGGTCCCTCATTGGCCTGATATGTGTATTGTGTCCAAATTTGGTGTCAATTCATCCAGTGAGCTTTGAATTATGTTAATCCCACAAACAAACATTACATTTTTATTTCTATAAATTTGAAACCAGGAGTAGAAATATCATGAAAATAACAAGAATAGGTTCTGATGCAACAAATAATACATATTTCAGCGAATTTAAAACTAACAGTAGTCACATGTGAAATGTAACAACTAGGTCAAATAATGATGGTGATGATGACTACAACAACTTGGCCAGTCAGTCCTTTGTGTAGGAGCTCAGGGTCAATCCCAGAAAATATTTAGTTAATCTCTGTGTATCATCAAAGCTCACAACTTCACTATTTTGCAATACTTAAAGCTGTTGTTATTTTGTGAATTCAAGAAATTTCAGACCTTCTTGACAAGGTTTGTTCAGGATAACTTATTGCAAACCGATTAATTTTCTTCTGGGACAAAGGAAAATAGAACACCACTTTCAAAGCAATTCTGCCACCTTGTGGAAAGGCCAAACATGCCATAAAAGTATGTGGGCTGTTCAAAAATGTCTTTCCATCCCATTTGTTCAAATTAATTTCGGCAACACATCAAAATATAATGATACAGCCACTGCCCTGAGTCCCTTCGGGAAGATAGAGCAGAATATAAATAAAATTATTATTATTATTATTATTATTATTATTATTATTATTATTATTATTATTATTTGAAACACAACAACACAACAAGATGTGTCCACAGCAGACTCTCTGCTGGCTGTTGTATTGGATCACACGTCGGACACTTCAGTGTGATGTATCGGCGAATAATGCGTGCAGATCCCAGTAAGGTAGCCTTTTGCAGCTGGCAGATGGTAATTTTGTCAGTGCCAATTGTGTTTAAGTGCAGGCCAAGGTCTTTAGGCACTGCACCCAGTGTGCCGATCACCACTGGGACCACCTTTACTGGCTTGTGCCAGAGTCTTTGCAGTTCAATCTTTAAATCCTCATATCGTGTCAGCTTTTCCAGTTGTTTCTCTTCAATCCTGCTGTCACCTGGGATTGCGACATTGACGATCCATACTTTGTTTTTTAACACGATCATGAGGTCAGGAGTCTTGTGCTCCAAAACTCTGTCTGTCTGAATCCAGACGTCCCAGAGTAGCTTGATGTGTTCATTCTCTGTAACTTTTTCAGACTTGTGATCCCACCAGTTCTTTCTCGCATGCAGATGGTGTTTGTGGCACAAGTTCCAGTGGATCATCTGAGCAATGGTGTTATGCCTCTGCTCAGGCCCGTAGCCAGGATTTCGTTTCGGGGGGGGGGGGGGGGGGGGGTTTTTTTTAGGGGGGGTTTCGGGGGGGCTGAGTTTTGGGGGGGCTGAGTCTGAGTGAAAGAGGGTCTACCCTAGCAAACCTTTTGTATCATTACCCCAATACCCCCATGCATATGGGATATATTGAGTATGGTGATCAGATCATGATATGAATAAATATAACAGTTTAAATAATGCACCAATAAGGCCTTTTCGCGAACCACCATGAAAATTTCGGGGGGGGGGGGCTGAAGCCCCCCAAGCCCCCCCCCCCCCCCCCCCCCCCCGGCTACATCCCTGCCTCTGCTTATAGTCTGTCTGTGCGATCTTCTTGCAGCAGCTGAGGATGTGATCTATTGTTTCATCTGCTTCCTTGCAGAGTCTACACTTGGGATCTGCCATCGACTTTTTAATTCTGGCTTTGATTGCATTGGTTCTAATGGCTTGTTGTTGTTGTTGTTGTTGTTGTTGTTATTAACTGGATTTTATATAGCTGTGTAGAAGAAGATGCAGTCATCCCCCATTAAATTCAATGGTCTTTGTTATGAATGCTGCTTCGATCTGTTAGGACATTTTACATTAAATTGCATGGTGATCCTAAATGTGGAGTGTATTTCCAAGAGCCACTTGAACTTCCTGATAGTTAGGCCCCTTCCACAAAGCTGTGTAAAATCCACATTGAACTGGGTTATATGGCAGTGTGGACCCAGACAATCCAGTTCAAAGTAGATATTTTGGATTTTCTGCCTTGATAAGAGCCCCAGGTGGTGCAATGGGTTAAACCCCTGTGCCGGCAGGACTGAAGACCAACAGGCCGGACGTTCAAATCCAGGGAAAGCGTGGATGAGCTCCCTCTGTCAACTCCAGCTCCCCATGCGGGGTCATGAGAGAAGCCTCCCAACAAGGATAGTAAAACATCAAAAACATCCTTGCACCTCCCAGGCAACATCCTTGCAGATAACCAATTCTCTCACACCAGAAGCAACTTGCAGTTTCTCAAGTCGTTCCTGACACACACAAAAATAATACTTGCCTTAATATTCTGTGTGGAAGGGGCCTAAGAGCTGTTCAACAGTGGAATAAGCTCCCTTGGGATGTGATGGAGTCTCCATCCTGGAAGATTTTAAGCAAGTATTTTGGCTTTTATCTAATTTATAGGAACCATTGTTTTTTACTAATGTTTTGTACTGCTTGTCCTCTCTTTAATATTGACTTATGTTATTAATTGTCTTATTTTATTCTGCACATATTATTCATTGTATTTATTTATGATGTAAGCAGCCCTGAGTCCTTCAGAGGAGATGGAGCAGGACATACATAAAGTTTATTATGATTTAATTTGATACATAACAAAATTAGTACACGGCAAACAAGATCGCTATAATGGCTTTTGTACTTGATCACCTGTTGGACACCTCCCAAGTGTCTAGGACTGTGTGATGTATCGGCAAATCCAAGTAGAGTGGCCTTTTGCAGCTGAGAGATGGTAATTTTGTCAGTGGTGATTGTTTTGAAGTGCAGGCCAAAGTATTTAGGCACTGCACCCAGTGTGCCAATCACCACTGGGACCACCTTTACTGGATTGTGCCAGTGTCTTTGCAGTTCTATCTTGAAATCCTCAAATCATGTCAGCTTTTCCAGTTGCTACTCATCAATTCTGCTATCGCCTGGGATTGCAACATCATCATCATCATCATCGCAATAGGGAGCCATGGTGGTGCAACGGGTTAAACCCTTGTGCCAGCTGAACTGCTGACCTGAAGTCCTGAAAGTCAGTGGTTCAAATCCACGAGACATGGTGAGTTCCTATCTGTCAGCCCCAGCTTCGCATGTGGGGACATGAGAGAAACATCCCACAGGATCGTAACACATCCCGGCATTCCCTGGGCAATGTCTTTGTAACAACTTTATTTATACCCCGCCACCATCTCCCCAAGGGGACTCGGGGCGGCTTACATGAGGCCAAGCCCAGCAATACAACAATGCAAATGTACAACATAAGAATACAACAATAAAATATAAAAATAAAATAAAATGCAAAAAAAGTATAAACAAATTGAGTGGTATCTTTATTTTTTAGTAATTTTGTATAATTTTGTGTATTTCTTTCCAAAATATTTGTGCTTTTTTGCATGACCACCACGTGTGGTAAAAGGTTCCTTCCACCTCCCCACTTCTGGGCGTTCCCTGGGCAACGTCTTTGTAGATGGCTCTAAAATTACAACAGCAAAACAGCAGAGAGGAAACAACCAGGCACATCTTAACACCTCTCAACAAAAGATTCCCCCAGGCTCAGCCAGGCCTTCAAATGCTAATGAAGGTGGTCAGTTGAAACATTCACACCTAGCTCCAGCAGAGAAGAGTTCTTTGCCCCACCCCAGTCATTCCACAGAAATATAATAAACCCATATTCCTAATTCCAACAGACCTCACTACCTCTGAGGATGCTTGCCATAGATGCAGGCGAAACGTCAGGAGAAAATGCCTCTAGAACATGGCCATATAGCCCGAAAAAAACCACAAGAACCTAATAATAACCTGGCTTCAAAAAAAGCAATTTATTATTATTATTATTATTATTATTAACTTTATTTGTACTCCGCTAGCATCTCTCGAAGGACTCGATGCGGCTTACAAAGGCCAAGGCCTCAAAACACAACACAACAATACAACATCTAAAGCAAATTAAAAACAGTTAAAGCAATATTAAACAACAATCAATAAAAAATACATCAAGACACTATAAAACTGGGCCAGGCCAGGGTAATGGGTACAGGATTAAAAGTGCTGATGTGACAGGTGGTATGTAAGGATTATAGGGCAAGTGCAGTGTGTAGCAATCTTAATTCTAATAAAGTGCTTCTGGGACTTGTTATTGGAGATTCCTATTCTGGAAAGGCACATCGGAACAGCCAAGTCTTCAAGTTCTTTCTAAAGACTGCCAATGTAGGGGCCTGTCTAAGATCTTTTGGGAGGGTGTTCCAGAGTCGGGGGGCCACCAAAGAAAAGGCCCTGTCTCGCGTCCCCACCAAGCGCGCCTGCGACGCAGGTGGAATCACGAGCAGGGCCTCTCTGGATGAACGAAGTGAGCACGTGGGTTCATAAATGGAGATGCGGTCACGTAGGTAGGATGGTCCCAAACCGTTTAGGGCTTTGTAGGTAAGCACCTGCACCTTAAATTGGGCTCGGAAGATAACCTGGCTTCATAAAAAGCAATTTGTTTTTAAATATATATATATTTGTACTGAGATCGATTTTTAAAATAATAACCAGGCTTCATAATTTATTTTTATTATTTTACTATTATTGCAATAATAATAATAATAATAATAATAATAATAATAATAATAATAATAATAATAATAATAGAGGCTGGATGGTCATAAGGCAGGAGTTCTTTGATGGTGTGTTCCTTGCATGGCAGAATAGGGTTGGTGTGGATGGCCTTTGGGGTCTCTTCCAACTCTTTATGATGTACCCTAAATATGCCATTTCCAAAGCCCTGCATAGTTCCATCCCCTTTTCTGGGCATCCCAGTGGGGCGGGGCTCTTTGCAGAGGCCCCGCCCTGTTGGACTCCTATTGGCTCTGGAGGCAGGGCTGGGGGGCGTGGCTCTTGCGTCGCCCCGCCCCCTCGCGCCGGTGCGGCAAGACGCCCCTCTCTGCCTCGCGCCAGGCCGGGCGGAACCGGAAGTTGTCCCAGGTTGAGGAGGGAAGGGCGGCGGCGGAGGCTGAAGCTCCCTCATGGCGCTCAACCTGAGCCGGAATGGACCTGCGCTTCAGGAGGCCTACAGCCGGGTGGTGGCCTCGGGGAGCCCGACAGACTGGTGAGGAAGAGCTGGGAAGAAGGCTGGGCTGTGCAGGAGAGGGCCAGGCTCTTGGTTGAATGGGCTCTCTTGGGAGTGTCTTCCAAGGTCTGAAGGAGAAGCAACAAATTGCCTAGGACAGTATAGGCGAACTTGGGCCTTGCAGGTGTTTTGGACTACAACTCCCATCATTCCTAACAGCCTCAGGCCCTTTCCTTTTCCCCCTCAGCCGCTTAAGCTGTGCTGCAGAATATTGTTGAATGCTTTCATGGCTGGAATCACTGGGTGAAGCATTCTCTCCTGACGTTTCGCCTGCATCAATGGTAGGCGTTCTCAGAGGCCTGTGAGGATGCAAGGTGAAACGTCAGGAGAGAATGCTTCTACAACATGGCCATATAGGCTGAAAAACCTTCAACAAAAATGTGTTGTAGGATGTATTGTCGAAGGCTTTCGTGGCTGGAATCACTGGGTTGTTGAAGGTTTTTCAGCCTATATGGCCATATTCTAGAAGCATTCTCTCCTGACGTTTCACCTGCATTTATGGCAAGCATCCTCAGAGGTCTCACAACTTCTGAGAATGCAAGCGAAACATCAGGAGAGAATGCTTCTGGAACATGGCCATACAGCCCAATAAACTTACAACAACCCAGTGATTCCGGCCCATGAAATCCTTCGACAATATATTAAAAATCTGTTGCAGGATGTATTGTCGAAGGCTTTCATGGCTGGAATCACTGGGTTGTTGTAGGGTTTTTTGGGCTATATGGCCATGTTGTAAAGCATTCTGTCCTGATGTTTCGCCTGCACCTATGGCAAGCATCTTCAGAGGTTGTGAGGTCGAGGACTTCACAACTTCTGAGGATTCTTGCCATAGATGCAGGCGAAACATCAGGAGAGAATGCTTCTACGACATGGCCATATAGCCTGAAAAACCTACAACAACCTTGTGTTGCAGGATGTCCCACAAAAACCATCGTTGTTGTAATTGAATAAGCTTTTTCCATGTTTTACAAAAGAATCCACTGGGAAATGATAGTTTTAACCCAGGAACAAAAAAAATCATGTTACATAGTGTAATAGTTTATAAGTTTTATTGATTGTGCCTCGAGGTGGGAGGCAACATGGTTACAACAGACAGACAAATAAAACTTCATTAAAATTCGTATATAATAAATAATAATATCTTTATTTATATCCCACCTCATCTCCCTAGAGCAGTTGCTCTCAACCTGTAGATCCCCAGATATTTTGTCCTTCAACTCCCAGAAATCCTAACAGCTGGTAAACTGGCTCGGATTTCTGGGAGTTGTAGGCCAAAACATCTGGGGACCCACAGGTTGAGAACCAGTTTTATTGTGTCTTGGTGTATTGTTTTATTGCTGTTGTTTTAATATTGCTTTAACTGTTTTTAATTTGCTTTAGGCTGTGTACTGTTATGTTGTGTGTTGAGGCCTTGGCCTTTGTAAGCTGCATCAAGTCCTTCGGGAGATGCTAGCGGGGTACAAATAAAGATAATAATAATAATAATAATAATAATAATAATAATAATAATAATAATTGCCCTAGAGTGACTTGGGGCGCTTACAAAACAGCAGTAAGGCAAACAGAAACAACATAAAAATATAGCAATAACCTAATCAATACAAATGTACACCAAAAGAAATAAAATATATCAAAATACAGCAAAGGAAAACACCAATACAATATAAGCCAGCATAAAACTCAGAATGTAACCTGTGTTTTTGGAGTGATGCAGGTTCAGCACATAAATGGGCCTTTGTGTTTGAGAGACGTCACTCAGGGCCCTTCCACAAAGCCATACAACCCAGAATTCCAAGGGAGAAAACCCCACAATATCTGCTTTGAACTGAGTTACCTGAATCCACACTACCAAATGTTCCAGTTCAAAGCAGATATTGTGACTTTTCCTGGTATTGTGATATTCTGGGTTATAACCCAGACCCTTCCACACAGTTGTGTAAAATCCACATTGAACTGGATTATATGGCAATGTGGACTCAGGGCCCTTCCACACAGTCATATAACCCAGAATATCAAGACAGAAAATCCCATAATATCTGCTTTGAACTGGATTATTTGAGTCCACACTCAGATAATGTGGGATTTTCTGTCTTGATATTCTGGGATATAGGGCTGTGTAGAAGGGCCCTTTGTCCACACTGCCATATATTCCAGTTCAAAGTAGATACTGTGGAATTTTATTCAGCTGTGTGGAAGGAGCCTCAGATAACCCAGTTCAAAGCTGAATTATCTGCCTTGATATTCTGGCTTTTATGGCTGTGTGGAAGGGCCTTCAATAGCACATGTGTGATGAAGGCTCTCCTGGCATCATGAGTTGGCATCCTTTGATATTGGCCAAGGCTCACACTGCAGGATGGGGATAACCTGTTGAGCCCCAGGTTCCTTTGGTCCTCATCTTCCTGAGATCTGACTGCCTTAGTTTTGATTTGGATTAATTTGGTTTCATTTAAATAATGATTTAACTACGTATAACTGAAATTGTGGTCTATGTAGTTTAAGTCAGGGCATTCTGGTTTAATGTTTTTAACTATTGTTTCAGTCCCTAGCAATGAAGACTTTGCTTGAACATCATTTTTCAAATAGTAGAACATTATTTAATGAGTTCTTGTGGGTTTTTTCGGGCTATATGGCCATGTTCTAGAGACATCTAGAGGTATGGCCATATAGCCCGAAAAAACCGACAAGAACCTATTGATTCCAGCCATGAAAGCCTTCGACAATACATTATTTAATGAATTTTCTTTTCATAAGTGCATCTTACTTTAGAAGATAGGAACAGACTCATGAATTCTTCTGATATTTTTCAGATTAATATTCACCTAATCAAAAAATAGGAATCACTTAAATTTATATCCAGACTCATCCTCTTTCCTCAGCTCTATTCCATCTAACCAAATTCTTCATTCACTTGATCTCCACTGTCTTTGTAGTGGTCTTGAAAGTGTGTGCAATTCATGTACTCTGCCATCAGCATAGGGTTGGTCAGGTTATCTTCCATCTCAAACTGCTGTTGGTATGTTCACAGAATGTAATTAGAAGTTGCACAATAACTGTTCACAATGTCATCTTTGACCTGGGCTCTGTTTTTGCAAATAGTGTTTTTAAATGGAGAATTTGCTTTAAATTTTAAAAATTGATATCAGTACAAATATATATACACACACCAATTACTTTTTATGAAGCCTGGTTTGACAGAATGTGAATAGTAACAATAGCAAGGAGAAACAGTAATATGTACTACTTTTCAACCCAGATTATTTCAGCTCATGGTAAGGATTAGAAGAGGGGAGAGTAAGGAAATCAGCCGTGGTGATGGCAGGGGTAAGGAAGAAGGGTGCAAAATATAGAGGCTCTAGAGTGGCCCCATATCCAAAAAATACATTATTCTCAGAATACATTATGCAGAGGAAGGAAGAGTGTGTAAGCAATGCAAGATGGTGTTACATCATGTAGATGTATGGTAGGTGGCACTTGGCTTTCATTGCTTGATGCAGGATGGAGCAATAGGTTTGTGGTTTCCTACGTGATGAACTGCAACTTCTGTCTGCCCCTCACCAGACTGTCCTGACTAGGGCTGAATAGAATTGCAACCCAGTAAAATCGGGATAGTCCTGTTCCACCCGCTATCCTACGCTGGAGCAAGGGAAGGATGCAGATTGTGCGGGAAAAAATAAAATTCAATTCTGTATTGTGAAAGATAGCTAATTTTTAATTTATTATTTATTTATTTTGCACATTTCTACCCCGACCTTCTCAACCCCCGAGGGGGGACTCAGGACAGCTTACAAAAGGCACAATTCGATGCCAGCAATACAATAGTAAGATAAATACATATCAGCAACAATTAAAACAATCCAGTTATACAACACAACGAATAAAATCAATCTAATAATCAACGTTCGCCAAGCTCAAAATCCGTAAATTCATACCGCATTGTCATAATCGTATCCAATTCTAGTCATCATTGTCCTTTGTCTGTCTGCCAGATTACCCAAAGGCCTGGTTCCATATCCATGTTTTTAGTTTCCTTCTAAACGAGAGGAATGTTAGGTTTCCACCCCTTTCTGGTCTTTCGCAAAGTGGTTTTATTTTTTTAAGAATTTGCTGTGTGTGTGCTTAAATCCAATTCTTTGCCTTGCTGTTTTCAGGGCTCTGTTTACTTATGAAGGTAACAGCAATGACCTGAGAGTGGCTGGGACTGGAGGTAAGTTTTGGAAAGTATAGTACAGTAGTCATGGTCTGAATAAATTACTGCTTTATTTATATATGTTTACTGTATGGATGTTGCAGTAAACAATTTTGCTGCAACATGAGGGGGCAGAGGGAAAAGAGCAAGAAAAGCAACCGACCTCTGTTTAGGGACCCGGTGCAAAGGGAGAGACAGAAGACATTAGAAAGAAGTGCTCCCATCCCATTATCCCTCTCTTCTTGGAGTAAAAAGACAGCCCTCTCACCTCGCCTTCTTCCTTTACTTCTTTTTTTTTTTTGCCATTTAGCAACAAACATTTTGGATAATTGAAGCAAGACAGTGTCTACATCAAATTGTAGTATGGGCTTCCTGTAGTCTCTACAAAACTTGCAATAACTGCAGAGAGACTGCCAAGCCTCATGAGACTTATAAAATAAGCCACTATTAAAAACATCAGCATTTGTTCCACTCCTTGCCCAAAATTGCAGGGAGCACAGAGTATTTCCAGCATTGACCTGTGGATAAATTGACCCAGTTTTGAGGTGGTGTGTGTGTCAATTTTTTTGGTCATTCTCACCAACTTATATAGTAATTCTGTGGATGCAAGCAGTCTTTTGCCTTGATTTTCTTAAATAAGAACTCCCTTAAGGATACATAGCATGGGAAAGCTACTTTTGAAACTGAACAGAGGTCAAAATTTCTGCTCAGAAGTTTGTGAGCTGCGTGGAAATATTGAAAGAAAGCTTTAGAATCTGTTTGTACTAATGAACAGCTATGTAATTTGTTCATCAGGTCAGCTTTTCCTAACCTAGCATCCTCTAGGTATAACTCTTATCATTATCATTCAATATCGGGCAAGCTGGAGTTGTAGTTCAAAACATCTTCAACACCTGGATTCAAGACGTTTGATCTGAGAGTGTTATGTGCTGGTTTGAATTGACTTTATAGGGTAGTTTCATTTTGCTTTTTTTTTTGTCTTTGGCTGTTTTGATATGATTTTAACAATTGATTTTAAAGTGGATATAACTGATTTTAATGTTTGTGTGTATTTATGGTTCATTTTATGTTCTGGCACTGAATGTTTGCTGTATATATGTTGTGCTCTGCCCCGAATCCCTCTTGGGCTGAGAAGACAGAATATAAATGCTTTAAATAAATAAATAATAATAAATACCTCTTGATTGTATTTAGATGGTGGCCTGGAGGAAATGATAGAAGAACTCAATAGTGGGAAAGTGATGTATGCTTTCTGCAGGGTTACAGCTCCCAATTCTGGCTTGCCCAAATATGTGCTCATCAATTGGGTATGTAGATTGCAATTCCATTTAATTTTGGAAATTATTGTTTGCATCCCTCCATATAAAAAAGAAAACTATATTGTACCTCTTTCTGAATAGTACAACACTTTGGACTGGTGTTTCTCAAACTCTGCTCCTTCAGGTGTTTTGGACGTCAGCTCCCACAATTCCTAACAGCTTGGTAAGATGGCTGGGATTTATGGGAGGTGGAGTCCAAAACACCTGGAGGAGCAGAGTTTGAGAAACACCACTTTAGACAAAACGCCAGGTTTTGAATAATCCAATAAATTATTCTAGATGCTATATAGCAACATTTCTCAACCTGGGGGTCGGGACCCCTGAGGGGGTCGCGAGGGAGTGTCGGAAGGGTCACCAAAGACCATCAGAAAACACTGATGTATGGAAGGTTTGGCCCAATTCTGTCATTGGTCGGGCTCAGAATGCTCCTTGATTGTAGGTGAACTATAAATACCAGAAACTACAGATCCCAAATGTCAAGATCTATTTCCCCCAAACTCCACCAGTGTTCACATTTGGGCATTTTGAGTAATTGTGCCAAGTTTGGTCCAGATCCATCATTGTTTGAGTCCACGGTGCTCTCTGGATGTAGGTGAACTACGACTCCCAAACTCAAGGTCAATGTTCACCAGATCCTTCCAGTATTTTCTGTTGGTCATTGGAGTTCTGTGTGCCAAGTTTGGTTCAATTCCATCGTTGGTGGAGTTCAGAATGCTCTGATTGTACAATAAATCCCAGCAACTACAACTCCCAAATGACAAAACGAACCCCCCGCCCAAGCCCACCAGTATTCAAATTTCGGCGTGTTGGGTATTTGTGCCAAATTTGGTCCAGTGAATGAAAATACATCCTACATATCAGATATTTCATCATGACTCATAACAGTAGGAAAATCACAGTTATGAAGTAGCAACAAAAATAATGTTATATTTTGGGGTCATCATAACATGAGGAATTGTATTAAGGGGTTGCAGCATTAGGAAGGTTGAGAACCAGTGCTATATAGGGATATTTCTCTGGAAGGTTCCCTAATTCTTGATAATCAATGGATTGGAAAGAACACAAACTCCTAGAATTTAAAACATACTAGATCAGGTTTAGAAATAGCTGTTGGCAACCCACTGAGGCTTCCTTGGAAATAATCAGTATGTCATTAATGTTTTGCTTTTTGATTTATTTTCATAAGCCAATCATAGTTAAATTTCTGAGCTGTTTTGGAATTTGGATTCCAAATCATGAAAAAGCATTTGTTATGATTTGAGAACTTAAGATGTTTACATCAACATCTTTTTGCTCTTTAGTCCAGAGAGCTGTGCATTCTTTTCGTGCCACTGTTCCTGGCTTTGAGTTGTGAAGCTGGATGTTGTAATGTTAATGGGTAACTACATATAGTTAACATAAACAATAAGTGAGGAAATGCCTTTGGATTCTCATCTCTTTATAAACAATGCCTCTGACATTTCTCCCCCTATCTTCTCTTTTCTGTGTTCATGTTGGCAGCGTTATGTAAATAAAGTAGATAAGATTGAAATGGGTTCTTCAGCTTCTCATGTTTTCCTTTGACAGTTTGGTGAAGGAGTTAATGATGTGAGAAAGGGAGCCTGTGCCAACCATGTCAGCTCTGTGGCAAACTTCTTGAAGGTATTTAATCACTATTTGCTTCTCCATAACATTTTTCTTTTAACTGAACGCTCTTGCATGTATATGATTCTGCAGTCTCTTTGTAAAGGTCGAGTTCTGTAGAAAGCACATCTGGGATGCTCAAAAGGGATTAATTGCAGCTGAAGATCCATTCAATCACTACTAATCCCCACCTAAAACTCTCCTTGGTTGTGGTTCAAACCGAAATTGGACTGTGGCGCAGCTGGCTGGGAGTCAGCTGCATTAAGATCACTACTGACTGGAAGGTCATGAGTTCGAAGCCAGCCCGGGTCGGAGTGAGTGTCTGACCAATTTGTGTAGCTTGCTTTTGACCTTTGCATCCCGAAAGACAGTTGCATCTGAGGAAGTACTTAATCAGTGTCACAAACGGACGGTGAAGCAACAGCTCCCCTGGTGGCCAGAATACCCTCATGAAAAAGCTGGAATATTAAATTGCCTCTGTGTCTGTCTATATATGTTGTGTATCTATGGCATTGAATGTTTGCCATATACACGTACATTGTAATCCACCCTGAGTCCCCTGCGGGATGAGAAGGGTGGAATATAAATACTGTAAATAAATAATAAATAATACTCCAGAAACCTTGTTTTTGTGGCTATCATTTTTAACCTTTCGTATGACATTTTAACCTTTTGTGCAGACTGCAAAAATAAAGTTTTGGCAGTTTAAGAAACCTTTTCCCAATTTTTAAAAGGACAGAACTAATTAGAAAATGTTATTTATAACCCAGGAACAAAAATTGTGTTACATAGTGTAATTGTACCTATCTAGCGCCATACAGCTTTTTAAATACTTTCCCTTTTTAATTAGGAAATAAGAAGCATTTTACTGCCAACCAATGTTGTGTGTCTATGGCATTGAATGTTTGCCATGTATATGTACATTGTAATCTGCCCTGAGTCCCCTGCGGGGTAAGAAGGGCGGAATATAAATAATGTAAATAAATAAATACATACATTTACAAAATGGAGTTATTTGTAGTCTGTGCTCAGCAGTGGGATTAAAAAAAGTATTCTGGAAGTAGAAAATAATAGCCATACTTACCTGGCATTCAAGCATACAGAACATATTACCAAATTCTAAATGTTGCAGCGTTTACTCTTGCGTTCTCCTATTTAAAAATTTCGTCATTTCACATTCCTTTAAAAAAATCGTATGATGAGGGAAGTTCTATTTTTAATTCATATTTTTCTTTTCCCCTGTAAGGAAAACTGATGCCATGTCTTACACATGGCCACTCTCTATACTATAATTTGTGGGCTGACTGGCAGTCAGTTTAAATTCTAATTATATCTTCCTAGTTGATATCATTTGTGGACAGTCATTTTTGCAGAATGCAGAAAAAGAAAAATGATAGCATTAAAAAAAAATCTTTATTTTTTGAAAGAAAGAAAAAAAAGGGGGGGAGATCTCCGGGTATGAATTTGGGGAAAAGGGGGATGGAACTTTGGGGAACGGGAGGTAGCGCTATCTAGGGAGGGGAGAAATAGAAAAGGAGAGCCCTATTATTAAAGAAGAAAAAAAGAGGAAAGTAAAGGTAGAAAAAATTGGGAAGCTGGGGTGGAAAGACAAAAGGTAAAGGGGGAGGGGGGAGAAAAAAAAGGGGGGGGGAGAATAATGAAAAAGTAAAAATCAAAACGAGAAAAAAATTAAAATACGATAGATAAAAAGTTCTTGATTGTTGACTTCCAAATTTTTCCTGTCAAGGTTATTAAATTCTTCGATATTAATTGTAGTTCTCTCTGTGATCTGGTTTTTGCGTCTTTTCCTTTTATATTCAAAAATCCAATCCGTGGGGTTTTTGGGTTTGCCTTGGTATGTTTTCAAAAAATAAGCTAATTTATCCAGATTCATTATGTCTAATATCTTTGATTTCCACTCTTCTTCCGTTGGAATTTCTTTGGTCTTCCATTTACTAGCATACACAATTCTGGCTGCTGTGATCATATAATTGAATAGGATATCTTCATTTTTGTTTATTTTCATATCTAACATCCCTATTTGGAATTTTATTTTTAAAATGTCTTGTATAATTTCATGTATCCTTTTCCAAAATATTATAGCAGTTTTGAGACACTGCTGAGATGTGCCAGTTCTTTCTTTCTCTCTCTCTCTCTCCCCCCCCCCCCCATATAATGGTTTCTCAATCTGCTGTTCTATACTGATATGTCTGTGTTCTTTCATAGCCATTGTTATTAGTGAGCGTTGTTAAATAGGAGAATCTCACCCACAGGTGAAGATGTACTCTTGTCCTCTATTTTTATGAACTGTATCCTTTTTGCCCCCAGGGTGCTCATGTAACGATAAATGCTCGAGCTGATGAGGATGTGGAGCCGGAAGCCATCATTGAGAAAGTGGCTAAAGCTTCAGGAGCAAACTACAACTTTCACAAAGAAGGCAGCAAGTTCCAGGATGCTGGCCCTCAGGCACCAGTAGTGAGTTCATCTGGGCTCTTGCTAGCTTCATTTTGTGATATTGAAGATTAAATATCCAGTAGGGAAATAACTAGTGGAGCTGCTGGAGTGTGGATCCCATTTAATAATGTATTTGCAAGTATTGTGTCTTACCTGCTTCTCATGTAACTATTGTGGTCTGTTAGGTACAAAGAGACTGGCTGAACTCCAAAGGTTAATATCTGATTGACATGGTAAAAACTGCAAATATATGTAAGACTAATAGCCAACATGACATATTTATGGTATTTCCTGAATTGCAAAAAAAGTTGCATTTTGAGATAGTCCCAGGCATTCACAAAACTTTAGCATGATGAACTTTAGCATGATGAACATGTCTTGATACAGCAGTGGGTGGCCTTTTCCTGTTTCCTGGAAGAAACTGCTGTAGAAAAAAAAGATGGTGAAAGCAATTTTAGAAAGAGTAATGTTAAAATTAGAATTTGGCAGAAAGTGAGAAGAGGAAACCATTTAGTATCTGCATTGCAGAGAGAGAGTTCTCTATAGAGTTTTCACAAAGCAGAAGTGGGAAATCCAATCTTTTGTTTCGATCTTTCTGGTTGGACCCAGTATAAACAAACAATAATTCCTGACTTTGTTTAGAGTCTTTTTCCTCTCCCCGCCCTACCACATACCATTGTGGCTGCCTGCATGTTTTAAAAGGGTTGTGGGCATCCTTTTATGGACACACTAGCTGTACCCGCCACGCATTGCCGTGGCCAACCTTCCCTTCCTCTTTCTCTCAATTATTTCTGTCCTTCCTTCCCTTTTTTCTTTCCTTCTCTCCTTCCTTCCTCCTCATTCCCTTCCTCTTTCTTCCCTTTCTTCTTTCTCTACCTATTCTTGGACTGCAACTCTCAGCAGTCCTCCTGATCGATCTATCTACCTTCCCATCTAAATCTATCTAATCTGGGAGTTGCAGTCCAGGAATAGGAAATTGGAAATATGCAGGGATTGGGATGCTCTCAAAGAAATCCAAGGAGAAGAAAGCTTTATGCTTGGAAGCAGTGCATTTGGATCATCCTCCTCTCCTAAAGGACCTAGTCTAGGGGATGCTGGGAGCTGTAGTCCGGAAGAGAGAGGATTTTCTATTGTGTGTTTTGATTGCCGCGGGAGTCATTTTTCCGCATGCGCTGTAGCATCTTTTAGCTTTTTTGGCCTTTTAAAGTCCCTTCTGCTGTGTTTTTCAGTGTTTTTATGAGTGATGGTCATTCGTTGGCCTGATAAGGTGTATTGTGTCCAAATTTGGTGTCCTGTTCGTCCAGTGGTTTTTGAGTTATGTTAATCCCACAAACGAACATTACATTTTTATTTATATAAGATAACATACACATATGTTATGGCTGCATATAGCATTTTTAGCACTGCAGGTGTTTGTGTTTCTTTCCTTTTTCTGCAGCACCCAACCCACCCTCAAATTATCAATCTCTCTTTTGGAGATCCCAGCACAACCATTCTCTGTTTTGAAGGCAGGATTGCAGAACATCTCCTGCTCACTAAATGCAAAATGATGACATCTGCACTGAGATCCTATAGTATCCTCCAGGGTCTTAGAGCAGCTTTTACCATTTTTTGTCACACTGTGGGAACACAGGTAGATGCTTCCGCCAGGGTGGAGGTTTCAATGGCTGCATTCAATATGTTTGGGAGTACATAGCTTATCCTATCAGATGTCTTGCCAAGTCACCTTATCTGTCTCCTGAGAAATCTGTATAACAACCAAGAAGCAACAGTAAGAACTGCCCATGAACAACAGACTGGTTCAAGATTGGGAAAGGAGTACTGCAAGGCTGTATACTCTTACCTGACCTATTCAACTTGTACGCATAACACATCATGCAATGCACAGGGCTTGAAGAATCCCAAGGCTGTAGTTAAAATTGCTGGAAGAAACATTAACGACCTTAGATATGCAGATGATACCACTTTGATGGCTGAAAGTGAGGAGGAGCTGAGGAGCCTTCTAACGAAGGTGAAGGAAAAAAGCGCAAAAGCTGGGTTGTGGCTAAACATCCAAAAAACCAAGATAATGGCAACCAGACTGATAGATAACTGGCAAATAGTGGGAGAAAACATGGAGGCAGTGACAGACTTTGTATTTCTAGGTGCAAAGATTACTGCAAACGTGGACTGCAGCCAAGAAATCAGGAGATGATTACTTCTTGGGAGGAGAGCAATGGCCAGTCTTGATAAAATAGTGTAGAGACATCACACTGGCAACAAAGATCCGCATAGTTAAAGCAATGTATTTCGTAAAGTAACCTATGGATGCAAGAGCTGAACCATAAGGAAGGCCGACCAAAGGAAGATAGGTGCCTTTGAACTGTAGTGCTGGAGGAAAATTCACCAGAATGCCTTGAACTGCGAGAAGATCCAACCAGTCCATACTTAGGAAATAAAGCCCGACTGCTCATTGGAGGGAAGGAGATTAGAGGCAAAGATGAAGTACTTTGGCCACATAACGAAAAGACAGGAAAGTCTGGAGAAGAGAATGATGCTGGGGAAAATGGAAGGAAAAAGGAAGAGGGGCCGACCAAGGACAAGATGGATGGATGGCATCCTTGAAATGACTTGGCTTGACCTTGAAGGAGCTGGGGGTGGTGAAGGTCGACAGGGAGCTCTGGCGTGGGCTGAGGTCATGAAGAGTCAGAGGTCATGAGGTCATGAAGAGTCAGAAAGGACTGAACGAATAAACAACAAAAGCAGATGTCTGTATAACTTTCCCCCTATGTTACACTGAGCCATATAACATTGCAGCCATGTTTGTATGGTATCTTCATTTAAAAAAAAAGAAAATGTTTTTTTTTAATTCTAGAAAGGTCTTCTTGGTGCAAATATTTCATTTCTCCTTTTCCTGTTATACAAGGTCTTTACCGCATGAGATCTTTCTCTGTCTGCTCCTTTAGTAACCTCTCCCCATCATTTCTCAACAGTTCAGTTCAGTTCTATTACACATTCACAACTCATTCAGCATTTTGCCAACATGACATCCAAAGTCAGGTTTCGGTTACATTTCAGAAAATCTTAGCCTCAGTGGTGTACCAATTTTTCCCATAGAGCAAGTTAACTATTCTAAGTGTGTAATTTTCCAGGCTCATCCTTTAGGGCACGGCTAATTAAACTGCGGGTCCCAACCCCAATGGTGGGGTCACAAAACATTTGGCAACAGTAGAAGTTTTCTGAATGCCACCTAGATATTTACACAAATCTATTGGCAATAACAGGCAGCAATTACAGTGGAATCCACAAAAAATGCTTCAGCTGTATTTCGTAAAGTAAGAAAAATCGGCCTCTTTAGTAAGACTTGCAAATGCTGATTTATTATCAGTAAGTGATTGATTTTCTATTTATTTTATATACATATGTAATGTAAAATTTCTCAGGCGGAAGGAAAGGGGTCTTGAGTCGAAAAAGTTTAAGAAGCCCCGCCTTAGGGCATGATCCGATCCTTAAAACATTTGGGCTGATTAGTAAGTTGTCTTGTGCCTTTCAGTGCAAGATTTACCTGCAAACCTGGCCATTATAAATTCCACACATCATTCCAATTAATTGTTTATTTAATTGGAAAAATTTCAGAATGGTCTTAATTAAAATTGCCTCGGTCATGATTTGTATGATTTTTTTCAAAAAGTATTTTATTTTATCAAGGTGATTCTAAAAGTGTGTAAGGCTTTCTAAGAAATTTGGTCTGTTCCCAGCTTGTTGACATTTTATTTAGCTACCGATAGCAATGAAACCATGGATTCTTTTTAAGTTGTGTGCTTCTCTTGCACAACAGGGCTCAGTCTACCAGAAAACTAATGCCATGTCCGAGATCAAAAGAGTCAGCAAAGATAGCTTCTGGGCCAAAGCAGAGGTATGCTCCATGTGATCAAGTTGCATGGGTTTTTCTGCATGTTATGTTTACCGTTCACACTTGTTTTGCTTTGTCTTAAATCATGCAGAGAAAATAAATAGTATTGTTAAGACAATAAGAAAGTCAGTTTGTGTTTATGAGTAAGAGGTTTGTTTTTATTTTTTTTAAGTTAGATACACAAAGCTTGTGAAGAGTAGTTCTCCATTACCTAAAGGAATTGAATTTATTTATTTTATTTATTTACTATATTTATATACTGCCCCTCTCAGCCCAGAGGTGACTCGGGGCGGTTCACAAATTGGCAACAATTAAATGCCTCAACAATTATAACAAGTAAAAACAATAAAGAAATTCTGATAAAAACAATAACATATGATATAAAAAATATAAAAACCATACAAAGCCTTAAAACATTATCATGAGCATCCCCATGGAGAAGTCTATCAACATGGGAACCCATTCCCCATATCACTCACTTGTGCCCGGCTCTGTTGTCAGGTGGTAACTATGGGCACCAAACTCTGGCCTTGTGTTCTGGCAAGGCTCTGCCCGACCGTTGGCCATCCCCAGCATCACGCCAGGGCAAAGGATGGCAAAGATGGTCTCCTCCTCATTGACTTCGAGCATCCTTAACTATCTGCTTATTCTTGTGTTTGTCTGTGTTTGCAGTTTCAAGCATTTCAAAACTCAAGGTAGCATAAACTATTTGGTTTCTTCCAGATATGTCAGATTAGGGCTTCAACAGTCCAGGATCATTGAACACACAGGTTAGAACTGAAAAGATTTGTAGGCCTTAGCATCCAAAAAGCACATTTTTTGAGTCTGTGTTTTTTTTATATAAATACACATACATGGATTATTTTGATAATAAAGATATTGCTGCTAGTTTTTTTGGGTTTTTTTTTTTTTGGTGTGTGTGTTAGGAGCTACTTGAAAAACTGCAAGTCGCTTCTGGTGTGAGAGAATTGGCCATCTGCAAGGATGTTGCCCAGGGGATGCCAGGATGTTTTACCATCCAGTGGGAGGCGTCTCTCATGTCCCTGCATAGGGAGCTTGTGCTGACAGACGGGAGCTCACCCAGCTCCCCAGATTCAAACTGCCAACCTTTTGGGTCAGCAGTCCTTCTGGCACAAGAGTTTAACCCATTGCACTATCAGGGGCATGACTTGTATTTTGAATTCAATATAGAAATAATGAGCATTTATTGTGGTACACTATAGCTTGTACTTCAGAGTTGCATGTTTGTACTTCAGAACTGTTTCACTTGTTCTTTCAGAAAGATGAAGAAAACCGAAGACTAGAAGAAAAAAGGAAAGCAGAACAGGAGCACAAGCGCCTGGAAAAAGAACGCCGTGAGCGGGAATTGCAGGAAGCAACTTTACGGGAACAAAGATTTAAGGCGCGGGCCAGTGAGATTGATGCTCAAAAGTGAGTAGATTTAAAGTTCACATTCCTGAGTGACTTCTAGAGAAGCATTGGATGCATTCATTTTATGCAACCTGAAAATTAGATCACATGTATTCTAGACTCTCCATTGGTAGAACTCTCAACCTTCCAATTTAAGGTTCTAATTTAAGTTTTTTGTGGCTAATTTTCCTGTAAAATGACTTTGTTTATCCATACTACTACTGTCTTTCTTAGTCTCCCCAAAACCACACAGGAAGCCCGAAATAATAATAATAATAATAATCATCATCATCATCATCATAAAACTTTATTTATAGGCCGCCCCCTCTCCCCAAGGGGATTCAGGGCAGTTTACATGCAAAAAAAGGCAAACATTCAATGCCCAAACTAAAATACAAACATTTTAAAATAAACAGGCTAATACAAAAATAATAACCATAAACTTGTGACAAAAGAGAAATTAACACCAAAATGAGGACCAAATATGTATAATCGAATAAACCTAATTATACTAATAACAAATTAACCATTTAAACATAAAGTCTAGAAAAGGCGTTTAAAATACATTAAATCAGGTTGTTCTTCTCATGTACTATAGCAACAGTGAAATATAGATAGGTTAGCCAGCATCTGTAATGAGGCATATATGCAGTCTCCAAACCCAAGTATATAGATTGTTTTTGTTTTGTTGGTCTTTGCACTTTTCCTTTGAGAACTGTTGTTAAAATTTCGTAGGAAGTTGGTGTGGGCTATTTCACTGACATTTCTACCACTGAGCTTTCTTATGTCTATAAAAATATATTAGTATGTACACCTAGTTACTTAAAGTATGTCTGGAAGTCTTCTCAGGCATCATTATATTGGTAGATAAGATAAATATTGTGAAATATAGGACTGCTGTATACAAGGCTGTGAAACTGAACTAAGAGTGGTTGCATATCTTAATCTAACAAAAGCCATATATTTTGCCATGTTCTGTTTGGAATACTGCTATACAAAGGGGGACTATTGCTTCAATAGATGAGCTATGGTCCCCCTGGTAGTGCAGTGGATTAAACCGCTGAGCTGCTGGACATGCTGACCGAAAGGTAGGCGGTTCAAATCCGGGGGGGCGGGGTGAGCTCACGCTGTTAGGCCCAACTTCAGCCAACATAGCAGTTCGAAAACATGCAAGTGTGAGTAGATCAATACGTACTGCTTCTGCGGGAAGGTAATGGCTCTCTGTGCAGTCTTGCTGGCCATATGTCAAGGGAAAACCTTTACTAATACTTATTTAATAATAAATATATATTATTACTAACATTTAATTACATTTATAACATATTATTACTTCATCACATTCCAATAAGCTTTTCAAGAGCTTGTTACAATACCTGTTAAGATAAAGATAGTTAGTGTCCATGTTTGCTTGCTTATGAGTGACCTTTAATAATAATAATAATGATAATAATAATAATTAAATATTATTAAATAATATTAATATTCAATACTATTAATATTTAATAATAATAATAATATATTTAATAATATTAATATTTACAGCGCTCCATGTAGTCACGACCTTGAAAGTGTCTACGGACAATGCCGGCTCTTTGGCTTAGAAATGGTGATGAGCACCCCCCGCCCCCCCAGAGTCGGACACGCTTAGACTTACTGTCAGGGGAAATATTTACCTTTTCTTTAGATGAGCTATATGGCACATCTGTTGGGAACAACTGAGAGGTTATCAATCTTTTTCAGTTGTGATTGTTAGTAGCATGCTGTCATCCAAACAACTTGGGCCACATTTGGAATGGATGAACAAATATTTTGTACTTCAATCAAGACAAGTTCTATACAAGGAAGTTTTCTACTTAGTGTGCCTCTCACCAAAAATTAGTTTACAGTAGACCTTGTTGCCTATCTCCTGTTGTTCCTCTTATCTACTGTACAAGTGAGAGATTTTAGTTCCCATGTTACCCAAAGCTGTTTATAGAGTAATTTGCTTACAGAAATGTCAACTCACCACAAGCAGTTCTACATCTTCTTTTTTGTTGCAGCAGTTTCTGTTTCTATTGGAATAGTTATATATTCCAGTTATACAAAGTAAGATGATGAATTCTAGGTCAAAACAATATTGACAAAGGAATAGAACTGTGAGCTTGGACACTTGTTTTCCTGCTCACAGTAGGATTCAGCTGAGAGTTAAATATAATACAAGCACATAAATCTTTGCCTGCAAAAGCATACACTCCCAGAATCTCAGATACACTTTAAAATCTGTTCAAAACCGTTTAGGGTTAGATTTAAATTAAGAGAGTGACTTATTCTTGGCTATCCAGTGAATGTCATGATTGAAAGGGAACCTGGAATTCTGTTGTTGAGCCATGTAGGAATCCAGTCAGTCGATATCAACTTGCTAGCTGAAACTTTCATATGAAATCGCAAAAAAAAAAAAAAAAAGCCGGGACTTCAGATATTTTGCCACAAAGGACTTCCTGCTGTTCTCCCATGAACACTACACACTACATCAAGGACTCAGCCCACTTCATAGAAAAAAAAATCAGCAATCTCAAGCTAAATACAAACGACAAACTGATCAGCTTCGATGTGGTATCTCTATTTACCATGGTCCCGGTAGCAGACACCATGGCACTCATCAACCAGAGGTTCCAGAAGACATCACGGCTCTGTTTCACCATTGCCTTACCACCAGTTACTTTCAGTGGGACAATGAATTCTACGAACAGAAAGATGGAGTAGCTATGGGGAGCCCTCTCAGCCCGGTCATAGCTAACTTCTACATGGAACACTTTGAAGAAAAAGCCCTGGAAACAGCAACCAAAAAGCCCACGATATGGTTCAGATATGTGGATGACACCTTCACCATTTGGAGCCATGGAGAAGAAGAACTCAACAGGTTCCTGGACCATCTTAACAGCATCCACCCAAACATCCAGTTCACCATGGAAAAAGAAAATGAAGGAAGACTGCCTTTTCTAGATGTCCTAGTCATCCGCAAACCAGATCAACAATTGGGTCACACCGTCTACAGAAAACCCACACACACAGATAGATATCTACATAAAAACTCCAACCATCACCCAAGTCAAAAAAGAAGCACCATTAAAGCCTTGGCAGACCGTGCAAAAAGAATCTGTGAACCCCACCTCCTCCAAGATGAACTGAACCACCTCAACTGGGCTCTCCAGGCCAATGGATACTCCACCTCAGACATCAGAAGAGCTGCAAGACCAAGAACAAGCCACGAGAATAAAGATGAAGATCCACCCAGAGGAAAAGTGTTCCTGCCATACATCAAGGGAACCACTGATCGCATAGGGAAGCTGATGAGGAAACACAACATACAAACAATCTACAAACCCACCAAGAAAATCCAACAAATGCTACGTTCAGCAAAGGACAAGAGGGATCCTCTCACCTCTGCAGGAGTCTACCGTATACCATGCAGCTGTGGACAAGTCTACATAGGGACCACCAAACGCAGCGCCCAGACACGTATCAAGGAACATGAAAGGCACTGCAGACTACTTCAACCAGAGAAGTCAGCCATAGCAGAGCACCTGATGAACCAGCCTGGAAACAGCATATTATTTGAGAACACAGAAATGCTGGACCACACCAACAACCACCATGTCAGACTACACAGAGAAGCCATTGAAATCCACAAGCATGTGGACAATTTCAACAGAAAGGAAGAGACCATGAAAATGAACAAAATCTGGCTACCAGTATTAAAAAACTCTAAAATTATAACAGCTAAACAACAGAGAGGAAAAAACCAGGCACAGATTAACACCTCCCAGCAACAGATTTCCCAGGCTCAGGCAGGCCTTCAAATGCTAATGAAGGTGATCAGCTAAACATTCACACCTAACTGCAGCAGGGAAGAGCTCCTTGCCCCACCCCAGCCATTCCACAGATATATCAACCCATTTTTCCTACTTCCAACAGACCTTCTCAACCTCTGAGGATGCTTGCCATAGATGCAGGCGAAACGTCAGGAGAAATGCCTCTAGAACATGGCTCTATAGCCCGAAAAAACCCACAAGAACCTAATTTATTTATTATTTACTAGCTGTACCCGTCATGTGTTGCTGTGGCCAACCTTCCCTCCTTCTTTCTCTCCTTTCTTTCTTTCTTTCTCTCCCTCCCTCCCTCCCTCCCTCCCTCCCTCCCTCCCTCCCTCCCTCCCTCCTTCCTTCCTTCCTTCCTTCCTTCCTTCCTTCCTTCCTTTTTTTCTTTCATTCTCTCCTTCTTTCTCTTCCTCTGTATTTTAAATCATTAATATATAATGTTTTTAGATTGTACTATTAGCATTGAATCCTTGCTGTAAGCCGATCTGAGTCCCTCTACGGAGGTAGAGAAGATCGGGATATAAAATTTTTCAACAATAATAATAATAATAATAATAATAATAATAATAATCTTCTCTCCCCCCCCCTTTTCTTCCTCTTTCTTCCCATTCTTCCTTCTCTACCTATTCTTGGACTGCAACTCCCAGCAGTCCTCCTGATCAATCTATCTCTATCTAATCTATCTATCTTATCTATCTGGAGGATTGCTGGGAGTTTCAGTCCAGGAATAGGAAATTAGAAATATGCAGGGATTGGGATGCACTCAAAGAAATCCAAGGAGAAGAAAGCTTGCAACTTGGAAGCAATGCATTTTGATCCTAAAGGGCCTGGTCTAGGGGATGCTGGGAGCTGTAGTCCGGAAGAGAGTGTGTATATGCTATTGTGTGTTTTGTTTGCCAGGGGGAATAATGTTTCACATGCGCTGTATCATCTTTTTGCTTTTTTGACTTTTAAGTCGCTTCCGTTGTGTTTTTATGAGTGATGGTCACTCGTTGGCCTGATAGGTGTCTTGTGTCCAAATTTGTGTCAATTCGTCCAGTTTTTTTTAGTTATGTTAATCCGATAAACGAACATTACATTTTTATTTATATAGATTTACAGTAATTATATTCCACCCATCTCACGCCAAATGGTCAGGTGTTCAGTCTGATTCGGCTTCGAACTTGCCACCTTCCGGTCGGCAGTGATTTATTACTGCTGGCAATTAACCAGCTGTGTTCCAGCCCGGCTTCTTAAACCTCCTGCTGGTGCATTCATTTCTCTGCCATTTCTGCCTGATTCTGAGCCTCGAGTTTCCCTGTTTTCAGGTTCATCTGAGTTAGTACCCCATTTAGCTTTTCCAGAGACTTGCATCTCTTTCATTCCAGAGGTTCTGTCATATATTTTAAATGAGGGATATTTTATATGGTTGTATGTTAAAAATATATTCCTCAGCCTTTTGATCGAATTGGTTCTGAAAGATCTTACAACTGTTCTTAATAACACAAGAATACAAAAAAATATAGAACAGTTAAAGCGCTTCAAAATGACAGTAGTTCAGCATCGCGCAATCTATATATATAAAAATGTAATGTTTGTTTGTGGGAGAAACGTAACTCAGAAACCATTGGATGGATTGACATGAAATTTCGACACAATACACCTAATAGTCCAATGAGTGTCCATCACCCTAAAAACCCACAAAAACCAGCAGAACGAACTTTAAAAACCCCCAAAATAAACCATATATGCATATACACATACATTCATATACATATACATATGCACACATACATACACACATATATACACAAGCACACACAAATATACACACATATATACACATACATAAATATACACATACACGCATAAACATATACACATACATACACAGATATATACACGCATATATGCATTTACATAAGCGCACATATATACACAATATACATATACATATACACATATAAACTGAAATACACAAATATATACACACATATAAATACACACACACACACACACATATATATATATGCATACACACACAAAACATATATTCTCACACTGGGCCACAGCAATGCGTGGCAGGGGACGGCTAGTAAACACTAAAGTAGAAAATCACACTGTTCAGAAAATGGAGCCCTCAAATAACACTCTTTCTCTGCTTTGATGATAAGTCATGACAAGCTGAGCTTGCTCCACAACACGCCCAAATATCCTGCTAAGCGACACTAGAAGTAATTGCCTCTAGGTCTGGAGATTATGCCAGACGCCATGGGAGACATGTTGGGTCTTGTATTTTTGGCAACTGACTGTAGTGAATCCAGGGGAATTCGCCACATATACCTGAAGTAAGACACCGACATTAAATTAGATCTGCTGGTCTAGATGCTTGTGACACTTTTGCATCTGTTTCATAATAACAGAAAGCAGCTCTTTCTTGTCCTTTCATTCGAAAAGATGAGGAAGCTGCATGTTTAAGCTTGCAGTTTTTTAAACTTAATTTCATGTCTTGCATTTGCAATTCCAAAGGACACCTTATGAATTACAACCAGGGAAGAGCAATAAAATACCAGCGTTAAAATCATGTATAATACATAAGAAGAGCAATAAATAAATGCATGAAGTACACATTGTGACTGGATTTCAAAAATGATGCAAATGAATTTTTCAGTTATATTAATGGGTTGATGACAGAGTGAAGTGTAGAATGGAAAAAGCTGGAAATATGTGGTATCTATACCAAGTAAAGCAGGACTCCCTGATGGCAAAGTGAGTTAAACTGAGCTGCTGAACTTGTTGACCGAAAGGTTGACGGTTCGAATCCAGGGAACGGGGTGAGCTCCCACTGTTAGCACAAGCTTCTGCCAACCTAGCAGTGCAAAAACATGCAAATGTGAGTAGATCAATAGGTACCGCTACGGTGGGAAGGTAACAGCACTCCATAGAGTCATGCTGGCCATATGACCTTGGAGGCATCTACGGATAGCGCCGGCTCTTTGGCTTAGAAATGGAGATTAACACCACCCCCCAGAGTCGGACACGATTAGACTTAGTTGTTGTGGTTCAGCAACAGCATGATGGGACTGATGGGACTGAGAGTGCAAGTGGGCATGATGGGAATGGGAATACAGATGCAGGTGTGGGATTTCAGATTTCTCAGTTTTCTCAGCCACAGTCTGTAGCTGGAGAGAAACCCTTGTTCTCAAGGGAACGGAATGTGGCTGATAACACACTCGGTGAAGGTCACAGTGAGCCGCAGGTGTTAAGGAGAAGTTTACGGATTGCGGCCAAATCTTGAGGCCATCTGCTGGTGGGAAAACTGCTCGTTAGCTGCTCTGTTTAATGTTCATGTTTTGATGTTTTACCTATAAGTAAGCTGCTTGGGAGCTGATTCAGTGTCAGTTTCAACTTCGCAATATGGATCGCTGTGCCTTTGGCTCCAGGGCTGGGGCCTTGGGGATTGCCTGCTTCTTGTAACCTCATGCTATTTCCTGGATTTTATCCTGTTCCTTTGCCTCAAGTTTCCTGCTTTGATTCAAGAGAACTTAATGGACCTTTACTTTGTACTATTGAACTTTTTACTGCTTTTACTTGGATTTGTTTGAAACCTCAATAAACTTCTTTCTTCTCAAGTTTGGCTGGTTTGTCAGAGAGCAAGGTGAAACTTAACCTGAGACGCAACATTAGTGTCAAGGGAAAACCTTTTTTTATAGTAAGTTAAGTACAGCAGGGCTATATAATAATGCAATATAAGTTTCTGATAGAAGCAATAAAACACATGTTTTCTCTGTTACATTACAAGAGCCTCCTGAATGATTGCTTATAATGTAAAATAGAAAGCTTATGTTTTATTGGGTTGTTGTAGGTTTTTTCGGGCTATATGGCCATGTTCTAGAGGCATTTTCTCCTGACATTTCGCCTGCACCTATGGCAAGCATCCTCAGAGGTAGACCTCACTACCATGAAAGCCTTCAACAATACATTATGTTTTATTGTCACAGGAAATTTATTGGAGAATAAGGAAGACAAAAGAAATTCATCTAAACTATTTTAGTAGGGCCCCTAAAGGCTAGCTCTCACGTGTGGGTGTAAGCAAGCATCATTTATTGGGTTGGGGCCCCCATGGATGTTCTCTTCTCACACAAAGGCAATAACATTGTGAAAGTTGGGCTCCTATGGACATAGTTTCTGTTTAATCATGGTTATATATTTTAAATTTTCAGGAAATTCCAGCAACAACAGGAAACGGAATCAAGGAACAAAGATAAACAACAATGGGTAAGAGGTCTGAAATTGTCACCTTTTTCCTGTTCTTTGTACTCTCTGACTCATAAAAATGGGATTATCCTACCTCTGCCTAGTGTGTCATTCAGAACCTTGTAGAGCAATGGTTCTCAACCTGTGGGTCCCTGGATGTTTTGGCCTTCAACTTCCAGAAATCTTAACACTGGTAAACTGACTGGGATTTCTGGGAGTTTTAGGCCCAAACATCAGGAGACCCACAGGTTGAGAACCACTGTTCCATATATTAAGCGTATCCAACCTAAATTACCCAATTCGTTTTTATGTACCACTGCAGCATTATCAATAGGAACTGTTCGGTTTCCTCTTTGTTCTTTGGATTCATCAGGCATGGGCAAACTTTGGCCCTTTTTCCAAGTGTTTCTGACTTCAAATCCCACAACCCTACCAGCTGTTAGGAATTGTGGGAGTTGAAGTCAGAAGCACCAGGAGGGCCCGAGTTTACACATATGTGAACTAGAAGCTTATGTCACTCTCTAAAAGGGTCCAAATGGGCAATTTCACAGATGTCCATTACAGAAATGGAACATGTCCTTTCCCTGAATATATTTTGTCATTAAGACTTGGGAGAGAATCTGCCTTGCTTGCAGAAATGATGTGGAACCAATTGAAACTGCATCCTAAGATTTGGAGGCATAGTATGGAGATTGCTTAGTTCAATAGTGAAACTATTTTTTTTAAAAAAATAAGTTTTTATTTTATTTTGAGAATAAAAGAAGTGGGGGAAAAGGGGGTAGAGTTTGTTTTCCAAGTAAAGCGGGGGAACAATCTTGTGAGTGAAAAGTAGGAAAATACAACAAAAAAGAATCTTAGAATAGAAGATTTACCCCATACTACAAACCCAGAAAAATTAAATGGAAAAAAAAGAATTGTTGTAAAAATTGTGACTTCCATCTAATCCTTAGCATTTTTGAACTTTGACAGTCAGTAATCTTCTGTGTCTAATATAATAAGAAAAAACCCCAAGAAAATTATTTTTAAAAATAGCTTAAATATTGACTGCATTTATGTCCTTTCTTATAAAAGTTCTTTTAATAATTATTTCATTTTCTCCTTTCTTTGTATTCTTCTACTTGTGACCAGTTTGTTTGTTTAATCGGATTACTAGTTTCTCTTTAATAAAAAATGTTAATTTGTCCATGTCCTTTATCTCTCTTAATTTATTTATCCATTGATCTAAACCCGGTATTTCCCTTTGTTTCCACATTTTTGCAAAAATAATCCTAGCGGCAGTCAACAGGTACATGAAAAGGATAGCTTCATTTGAATCTAATTTTAAGTCTGTCAATTATTCCTAACAAATAATATTCTGGGTTTTTTTTGGAAATTTTTTCTTAAATATCTTTTGACATTCTTCATGTATTAATTTTCAATATTTTTGTGCTTCTCTACAAGTCCACCACATTTGATAGAAACTGCCCTCATGGTCATTGCATTTTTTTACACTGTTCATCTGCATAGTTCACAAAAGACCTGTAAAGAAAACTGGACTCTATTGTGTTCATTGGTCATTCTCCTAGGGACACTGAACAAATAGTTCATAACAAAGGCTGAGGTGTATGTCCATTTGCCAGGTTCTGAATTCTCATTCCCACAACTCCCACAATTCTCATTCAAGACTCTCTCTTGCTTAGACCTATCTGTGCTTTACTTTACCTTGAGGAATTATCTTACGTTACAGAAGGAACAGGAAGAGGAGCACAGCAAGCTGCAGAAGGGTTTCCGTAGGAGTGAGTCCGTGGAGAAAGCGCAGGTAAAGAGCTCCTTGCCAGGCACCAGCTGCCATGACATTAAAACTCTAACTTTGTTGCAATCAGTCTCTGAATTTATACTCTCCACGCTCTTTCTCAATGCTGAATAAGAACTGATCTGTTTGTCCAGGTTTGTCCCCGATCTTCTGTAAATTATACCAGTCACCTCTTGCAAATAGGCGCTTAGTTAAAACTGAGCTATATATAAGCATTTCAAATAACAATGCACACTTTGTATCGAAATATAACTTCAAGTGTGGATATATTACACAAGAGGTTATAATCCAGCAGTTGTATATCCACACTTGAGTACAGTTGATTCAGCAAATTATATATGCAGTTATATATATATGCACTTCTATGCAGATGAATCTTGAGGCATTCTTTAGCACAATATCAAGAATGGAAGTAGTGCTGCTTCCTATGCCAGTTGTATGGCCCTCAAGATAGAATCATAGAATCAAAGAGTTGGAAGAGACCTCATGGGCCATCCAGTCCAACCCCCTGCCAAGAAGCAGGAATATTGCATTCAAATCACCCCTGACAGATGGCCATCCAGCCTCTGTTTAAAAGCTTTCAAAGAAGGAGCCTCCACCACACTCCGGGGCAGAGAGTTCCACTGCTGAATGGTTCTCACAGTCAGGAAGTTCTTCCTCATGTTCAGATGGAATCTCCTCTCTTGTAGTTTGAAGCCATTGTTCCTTGTCCTAATCTCCAAGGAAGCAGCGAACAAGCTTGCTCCCTCCTCCCTGTGGCTTCCTCTCACATATTTATACATGGCTATCATATCTCCTCTCAGCCTTCTCTTCTTCAGGCTAAACATGCCCAGCTCCTTAAGCCGCTTCCTCATAGGGCTTGTTCTCCAGACCCTTGATCATTTGAGTCGCCCTCCTCTGGACACATTCCACCTTGTCCATATATCTCTTGAATTGTGGTGGTCAGAATTGGACACAATATTCTAGGTGTGGCGTGCTCCAGCAGCCTTGGAAGATATTCCTTGCTTGAATATTTTCTTCATCTCTCTTGGACCTTTGGTTTGGACTCTGAAAGTTGCTCAGTTGCATGTGGGATCCCTGATAACTCCCCCCCCCCCCCATCCTTTTTTTTTTGTACACAATGATTGGTTTTCTTTCAGGCATCTGCCCTTAACTTGGACTCCTCTCCCTCCTTGTTGTGCCTTCTCACTAATTCTGTTCTATATCTGTCAATAATTTGATTAGGGTCTTCTTCCATCTATCAAGTACCAGTAACTTGTTTCTTCTGTCACTCCCTTTAAAAGTCACTGTTTAGCATGGACTCTAGATTGGGTTTTTTTTAAAAAAAATCACCCTTGGATGCTCAATAATTAACATAGTTAAATGACACAGAAAGGTCTGCTGAGAGAATCTCATACAAAGATTAAGCTTATGACAAAGCTATTTATTCAGTGTTATTGCAAAAATGTAATACTAGCTTCTTTATCTTCAAGTTTGAATGTGTCTTTGAAGTGGGAGGTTTCAATGGAGGTTGGTCTTGGTGCCAATTCTTTTTTTAAAGCTTAGAGTATTTTTTTATTTATTTACATCATTTTTATCCCGCCCATTTCAGCCCGAAGGTGACTCAGGGCAGTGTACAGACCGGCAACAATTAGATGCTCCCTCCCTCTGCCCCCCTCCCCTCTCTCTCTCTATATATACATATACACATACATACATGCATACATCAGTTAAAAGCAATTAAATCACATCATAAATACATATAAAAACCATAGAAGCAGTAAAAAACTATAAGAATCTATAAAAACAATGTCTTCCAGTAACTAATTATTATGCCCAGGAATTTCTGAATAATATAATTTGCAGGTTTTTAGCATGTTGTTATGTGTGTGTGTGTGTGTGTGTGTGTGTATATATATATATATAGAGAGAGAGAGAGTTGGGGGCGGGGAGATATTTTCTGTGGCTTGCCTGTTTTCCCCTTGAATGGATTAGAGGTGACTTCATATATTGACAGCCAGTGGGAGCACTTCTTGCATGCAAAAATTAGATAGCAGCTCTAATCAGTACTAGTAAGTTTACTTTTCTCCCCTGATTTACTATGTGTTCCTAGGAATCATTATAGTTTTTTTCCATGCAGGAAGCAGCATCGCTAATAGCTCAAAGATCAATGAATCCTCGTGATATCTTCAAACAGAAGGAGAGGTCCATGTCTACAGAAGGAGCAGCCAGCAGTTCCCAGCCAGGTATCAAGGATAACAACTCACTCCTTTCTTGAAGGCTACAGATATGCTGTGCATGCTGAGAGCAGGGGAAAGTGCTACTTAAAGTAAGCTTCTTCAACCTGCAGCCCTCCAAGTGTTTTGGACTTCAGCTCCCAGAATTCCTGACGATTGAACAAACTGGCTAGATCTTCTGGGAGTTGGATGCCCACAGGTTGAAGAGCATCAAAATGGCATAAACACAAAGGCTTCCCCCAGTTTTGGTGGCAAAACCATTATAGCTGATGAACTAAGACTTGTGTCAATAACAATTTGTACATGTAACATGGGCACTGAAGGAGATGGTGCGTCTTTGGTTTTTCAGTGTGGGTTATGATACTAAGAAATGGAGGTGAGGTTAGAATCTCATAAGTAGAAGAGAAGAAACAGTATATCACCTCACTTCTTGCATGGCTGGCAAAAGACAAATTGCAACATGTCAGATGAAGGAGAATTCCTCCCTGTGACTTCAATCCATGCTACAACCATCTCAAAGAAAGTTCCTGTACATTTAGCTACAGCAACAGACAGGAACCAGATATATCGCAAGGCAAAAAGTGCTGCTCATGAGTGCTTGGCTAGCAGTTACAGTGGCTTTGTTTTGTCAACATACACAGACTGAATGCCATCTATAACGATCAAGCACCACCTAAAGTGTATGAACGCGGCTGTTCACCAAAAATATGAAGCCGTCAAAAGGAAGAGGGAGTATGGTTGCTGAAACAGTTGTATAGATTTGAATTTCTCTTTAAATTAGTCATTGAAATATATCCCACTGGTTATATAACATCTACTTCTGCTTCATTGACTATTCTAAAGCCTTTGACTGTGTGGATCATAATAAATTGTGGCAAGTTCTTAGTGGGATGGGCATCCGCCACCTTATCTCTCTCCTGAGGAATCTGTATAAGGACCAAGTAGCAACAGTAAGAACTAACCATGGAACAACAGACTGGTTCAAGATTGGGAAAGGCGTATGGCAGGGTTGTATACTCTCACCCAACCTATTCAACTTGTATGCAGAACACATCATGCGATGTGCGGGGCTTGATGAATGCAAAGCTGGGGTGAAAATTGCTGGAAGAAACATTAACAACCTCAGATATGCAGATGACACCACTCTGATGGCCGAAAGCGAGGAGGAGCTGAGGAGCCTTCTAATCAAGGTGAAAGAAGAAAGCGCAAAAGCTGGGTTGCAGCTAAACATCAAAAAAAACCAAGATTATGGCAACAAGAATGATTGACAACTGGCAAATAGAGGGAGAAACCGTGGAGGCCGTGACAGACTTTGTATTTCTAGGTGCAAAGATTACTGCAGATGCAGACTGTAGCCAGGAAATCAGAAGACGCTTACTTCTTGGGAGGAGAGCAATGTCCAATCTCGATAAAATAGTAAAGAGTAGAGACTTCAGACTGGCAACAAAGATCCGCCTAGTCAAAGCCATGGTATTCCCTGTAGTAACCTACGGATGTGAGAGCTGGACCTTAGGGAAGGCTGAGCGAAGGAAGATCGATGCTTTTGAGCTGTGGTGTTGGAGGAAAGTTCTGAGAGTGCCTTGGACTGCGAGAAGATCCAACCAGTCCATCCTCCAGGAAATAAAGCCCGACGGCTCACTGGAGGGAAGGATACTAGAGACAAAGTTGAAGTACTTTGGCCACATCATGAGGAGACAGGAAAGCCTAGAGAAGACAATTATGCTGGGGAAAGTGGAAGGCAAAAGGAAGAGGGGCCGACCAAGGGCAAGAGGGATGGATGGCATCCTTGAAGTGACTGGACTGACCTTGAAGGAGCTGGGGGTGGTGACGGCCGACAGGGAGCTCTGGCGTGGGCTGGTCCATGAGGTCACGAAGAGTCGGAGACGACTGAACGAATGAACAACAACAACATATAACTATGATTAAAAATCAAAGCAGAGAAGGGGAGAGACACTTAGTATTTTAAAAGGTAGGAACAGGGAAACACTAAAACTTGAGAGATTTAAAATGATTCTTCAAATGAATCCTGCTGCCACCATTCCAATAATAATCAGGCTGAGGTAATATTGTGAGTTTGTTCTGTAACACACACTGGGCCACTATAGTTTCTTAGTGGCTGCTGGGAAACTGACTTTACGAATACTTTGACCACGAAGATACACACACTGAGGCTGGTATAAGTTACTAAAAGGACAAGAATGTTTATTGAACCAGCTTGAATTAATTCAGGTACAAATGCTTAATGGTTTCAGAAAATACTGGCATGTGGTTGCGTTAGAGTAAAATCATAAACACTTCTGGGTTACAAGTCTTCAAAGTTCCACCACAGAAAATTACTTCAGGAAATTAATCTCTGACAGTAACTCCCAAAACTGATCCTTAGGAATCTAGCCAAAAATACCCTGAACTAGACTTCCCTTGGAATTGAACAGTCCACTAATTGGGCACTGCGCCACAACTACTAATAGCTACTCTGAATACCTCACAAAAGACTAACCCAATCTTCTTCTCTAAACCCAAACTCGCTCTGAGCTAACACCAACTCTCTCTCTTAACTCCCAAACGCCAACTCCAACTGACTAACTGGGACTTCAAGCCTCTGTTTTAAAAGGACACTTTTCCCCTCTAAACCACTTAGGCTCCGCTCCCATCTTTCTAGCAAATCCTAGCCTCCTTATTTCCCCTCTAAGACTTGAACACGCCCCCTCAAGGAAAACCTAACTAAAATGGCTTCCACCTGGCTCCCTTTGCTAAAATGGATGGCATGGCTTTGCCAGGTCCACTCTCTTAGTCTTCAGCCAACCAGCTAAGGTAAGGGATTAATTACATTATTTCTGTGCTGGGAGAGCCACTCCTGTTGGGAATAAGGAAGGGGAAGGTTGGGCTGCTGTAGTTCAGACAAGACAAGACAAAATTCAAGTATGGCAATGTTGTGTTACTCTGTGTGTTCACTCTTCCCTTGTTATGTGTGAGATGTTCTGTCTTAAAATACCCTTTTGTCACTGTAGAGTTTGGCATCTAAAAACAATGTATGTGCTTACGTTTTAGAAAAAAAGGAGTTTTGTGCTCAGATTTCTATGTGAAACAGGCTGCATTGAACAAACTGCTCTATTGTGTGGTTTGCAAGTTCCCCTTTATTATTATTGTTCCCTTTTCCACCCCAGGTGTTTGAATTGAGAAACCAATTTAGGCCAATGGCAAGAAACATGTAACTCTCTAGCTCAGTGTTTCTCAACCTTCCTAATGCCGTACCCCTTAATACAGTTCCTCATGTTGTGGTGACCCGCAACCATCAAATTATTCACGTTGCAACTTCATAACTGTAATTTTGCTACTGTTACGAGTCATAAAGTAAATATCTGATATGCAGATATTTTCAGATCTGAAATTTTCATTCACTGGCACAAATACCTGATATGCCCAAATTCGAATACTGGTGGGGTTGGGAAGGACTGATTTTGTCATTTGGGAGTTATAGTTCCTGGGATTATCTACCTCCAATCAAAGAGCATTCTGAACTCCACCAACGATGAAATTGAACCAAACTCCCCACACAGAACTCCCATGACTAACAGAAAATACCAGAAGGGTTTGGTGGGCATTTGACATTGAGTTTTCGAGTTGTAGTTCACCTGTATCCAGAGAGCACTGTGGACTCAAACAAAGATGGATCTGGACCAAACTTGGCAACAATCCTCAATATGCCCAAATGTGAACACTGGTGGAGTTTGGGGAAAATAGACCTTGGGGAAAATTGACCTTGGAAAATTGACCAGTGGCGCAGTGGGTTAAAGCGCTGAGCTGCTGAGCTTGTTGACCGAAAGGCCGCAGGTTCGATTCCGGGGAGCGGCATGAGCTTCCGCTGTCAACCCTAGCTTCTGCCAACCTAGCAGTTCGAAAACATGCAAATGCGAGTAGATCAATAGGTACCACTCTGGCGGGAAGGTAAGGGCGCTCCATGCAGTTATGCCGGCCACATGACCTTGGAGGTGTCTACGGACAACACCGGCTCTTCGGCTTAGAAATGGAGATGAGCACCACACCCCAGAGTCAGACATGACTGGACTTAATGTCAGGGGACAACCTATACCTTTTAGACCTTGACATTTGGGAGTTGTAGTTCCTGGGATTTATAGTTCACCTACAATCAAAGAGCATTCTGAACTCCACCAACCATGGAATTGGGCCAAACATCCCACACAGAACCCTCATGACCAACAAAAATATTGTGTTTTCTGATGGTCTTTAGCGACCCTCTGACACTCCCTCACGACCCCCTTAGGGGTCCCGACCCCCAGTTGAGAAACGCTGTATTGCAGCTTTCACCATCTCTTGCCAGGATAATCAGCAATATAAGATGATGGGGAGCTGTAGACAATTAGGAGGCTATAGCTTAGTAACTGAGGTTGAATTGAGTCACTTGCCCAGGCCCTACTCAGCACATGCTAGTAGTAAGGACTGTGTGTCTTACCAGATCCTGTTTTTGCATTAACTTCCCCCACTTTCTTAGGCAAGTTACGGAGCCCTTTTCTGCAGGAGAATAATCACATGGAGGTTCCTGCGTCCCCTGTTCATCCTGCTGTTCAAGAGGTTCACCCTCCTCCTGTGGTTCACTCATCTGTACATGACACACCTCCAGTCTCTCCTGCTCCTGAAACTGGTAAAATGCTATGAGAGAGCAAGAAATTGTAGTTCTTTGCATCAAAAATTTTAATAGCTGACAGTGTTTTTCAGATAGATAGATAGATAGATAGATAGATAGATAGATAGATAGATAGATAGATAGATAGATAGATAGATAGACAGACAGATAGATAGATAGATAGATAGTGAGCTCACAAGTTCCAACCACAAAGCAGTAAAAGAGTCCGTAATTAACACAGGTCCCCTTTAATAAATTGAAATCTACTGTTTGATATATTTACAGTTGACTTCTGTCATCTAAGCAACCAAATATTTTTTCTTCTAAACATTGACTTAGCCAGCAAAGCTTTCAAAAGCGATGTCTTCAACTGTTGGTTCCTGTCATTCTCCTGATTGACTACAGTCCTTTTTAACTAGAAAATTCTGGGAGTTGTAGTCCAAAAATATAATTTCAAAGCTCTTCTAGCCTGTTCTCTGATGAAGCACATTTCCATTCTTCCTATATATTTTGCTTTCCAAAGGGATATTACCAAAGTTTTTTGCACAGTCTATTCTCCAGTAGCTAGATTTAGTTTCAATATAGGTCTGTGCTCCTTCTGTTAATGCATATAAAGCCACCAGTGATTTGTAGAGTCACCAGCTATTCCAGTAGTACAAGAAAGTATGCATTCAGATGTCAACATGCTGTCTGGCTTATTAGCTCAGTTATCGTTCCTTATCTAACAAGAGAAGTACCATGTTTTCCCTCTGTTTTCTTTCCTCTTCAGTATTTCTGTCTGCAGTATGGGGTGTTTGTTTGTATTTTGTGCTCCTTGAAGCATGTGTGTCCCAGTCCTGTTGCTTTATATATGTTTATCTTTTTGCTGGATCAAGACAAACTGCTTTTGTATCTCAGAAGATTTTAAAAAGTAGAGCTGATTATGGTTAAATCTGCTCCCTGGTGGTGCAGCAGGTTAAACCGCTGAGCTGCTGAATTTGCTGACCAAAAGGTTGATGGTTCAAATCCGGGGAGCGGGATGAGCTCCTGCTGTTAGACCCAGCTTCTGCCAACCTAGTAGTTCGAAAACATGCAAATGTGCTTAGATCAATAGGTACCGCTGCTGTGGGATGATAATGGCACTCCATGCTGTATGCTGGCCACATGACCTTGGAGGCGTCCCGGCTCTTTGGCTTAGAAAAGGAGATGAGCACCATTCTCAGAGTCGAACACAGCTAGACTTAATGTCTGGGGAAACCTTTGCCTTTACGTATTGTATCAATTTATTTATTTATTTATTTACAGTATTTATATTCCGCCCTTCTCACCCCTCTGGGGACTCAGGGCAGATTACAATGTACATATACATGGCAAACATTAAATGCCATAGACACAACATATATAGACAGACACTCAGAGGCTATTTAACATTCCAGCTCCTGGCCACCAGGGGAGCTATCGCTTCACCGTCCGTTTGTGACTCTGATGAAGTACTTCCTCATTCTTTGCATACTTCCTGGAGATTTTTATGGCCTCGTAAATCAGTTAAATTAGCCTCCCCACATAAGTGGTGCCTACATTTCCTACTTGACAGATGCAACTGTCTTTCGAGCTGCAAAGGTCAACAACAAGCTACACAATTTTGGTCGGAAGCTCACTCCGACCCGGGCTGGCTTCGAACTCATGACCTTCCAGTCAGTAGTGATCTTAATGCAGCTGAATTTCTAGCCAGCTGCACCACAGTCCCACATAAAATTGGTAGTTGAAGGATGAGAGAAAAATAGCAAGAAAATAACTGTTTGCCAAATGCAAAAGAGAAAACAAAAGGACATAAATGTTGTGCCAAAATTTATGAGAAAATTCACATCACAAAATACAGATGTGAATTATTTCCACATTATAAAATACACAAAAATACTCAGCTCCACTTATCTGAGTAAATAAAGTTTATGTTTGATGTATGAGCATGATGCCAATTTTCTATGGCGCAGACCCACTCCTTTTTTGTGCAGGTTTTCTGCAGGATTTGTAAGCACTATATGCTATCCCCAGCTCCTTTTGAGGAAAACAGGACATAAAAATATACAACCAGTATTTCAGATTGTAGAAAAACAGTAGTGAATCTGACAAATTTGAAAGAAAATACTGTTTTGCTTCTTTTCAGGTGATTCTGTCAGACAGAATAACTACACACCAGCCGCTCCTGTCTACCAGCCAGAAGTGACGCATGATGCGGTGTATGAAGAGCCCCCCAGCGAACGAGTTATTTATGATGAGCCACCTGAGGTCAGTCCCTTTAGATCTGGTGAAAGAAAGGTGTTTGTGAGTCGATTGGAGTTGGAGGTGTATTCCTTATGAGTGATAAGACACTGGATCTGGAGTAGTGAGTGAATTCCACAGTTGAACAGCTCTCCTTATGGGCATGAGCTTCTTCCTAACATGCAGGTTGAATCTCCTTTCCTATAATTTGAACCCATGGTTCTGAATCCTAGTCTCCAGGGCAGCAGAAAATAAGCTCACTCTGTCTTCCTTGTGGCATCCCTCAAATACTTAAAGATGGCTATTATGCCAATCCTGGGGTGAAATATTTGGAAACTTACATCTCAGTTGTTTTGTCTAACAGGCGTGTAAGGAAGATCCGGGTTTTTTAAATAGTAATATTATACTACATTTTTTGTTTTGTTTTCAGACATAGCCATTAATTTAATTATTTGAATAAGTTATTTTAGAAGTAGGGATAATTTAGTTTGCTCTGTCACATGGACAGATCTGCCAGTTTTTATGAGCTCTCCTCTTCATCTGGCCATGTAAGGGTGTAAAAGGCTGTAAGAACGTCAATACTGTGGCAGTAGAATTACTGTTATGCAGAACACATCATGCGACGTGTGGGGCTTGATGACTCCAAAGCTGGAGTTAAAAGTGCTGGGAGAAACTTTAACAACCTTAGATATGCAGATGATACCACTTTGATGGCTGAAAGCAAGGAGGAGCTGAGGAGCGTTCTAAGCAGGGTGAAAGATGAAAGTGCAAAAGATGGGTTGCAGTTAAACATCATAAAAACCAAGATGATGACAACCAGACTGATTGAGAACTGGCAAATAGAGGGAGAAAATGTGGAGGCAGTGACAGGCTTTGTATCTTTAGGTGCAAAGATTATTGCAGACGCAGACTGCAGCCAGGAAATCAGAAGATGTTTACTTCTTGGGAGGAGAGCAATGACCAATCTCAATAAAATAGTAAAGATTATTGACATCACACTGGCAATGAAGATTCGCATAGTTAAAGCAATGGTATTTCCTGTAGTAACCTATGGATATGTGAGCTGGTCCATAAGGGAGGCTGAGTGAAGGAAGATAGATGCTTTTGAACTGTGATGTTGGAGGAAAATTCTCCAGAGTGCTTTGGACTGCAAGAAGTTCCAACCAGTCCATACTCCAGGAAAGAATGCCTGGCTGCTCACTGGAGGGAAGGCTAGTAGAGGCAACGATTAAGTACTTTGGCCACATCATGAGAAGACAGGAAAGCTTGGGAAAATGGAAGGAAAAAGGAAGAGAGGCCGCCCAAGGACAAGATGGATTTTTTAAAAATCGTGTCAGGGCAACCAGTCGATTATATTACATTTCTAACAGAACAAAGAAAACAGACAGACAAAATACAAAATTTGTGAGTTTGGTAGTTGATTAAATGTCCTTTGACCAGTATCTGGCCACTTGGAGTGCTTCTGGTGTTGCTGCAAGAAGGTCCTCCATTGTGCATGTGGCAGGACTCAGGTTGCATTGCAGCAGGTGGTCAGTGGTTTGCTCCTCTCCACACTCGCATGTCGAGGATTCCACTTTGTAGCCCCATTTCTGAAGGTTGGCTCTGCATCTCGTGGTGCCAGAGCGCAGTCTGTTCAGCTCCTTCCAAGTCGCCCAGTCCTCTGTGTGCCCAGGGGGGAGTCTCTCATTTGGTATCAGCCATTGGTTGAGGTTCTGGGTTTGAGCCTGCCACTTTTGGACTCTCGCTTGCTGAGGTGTTCCAGCGAATGTCTCTGTAGATCTTAGAAAACTATTTCTAGATTTAAGTCATTGACGTGCTGGCTGATACCCAAACAGGGGATGAGCTGAAGATGTCTCTGCCTTGATCCTTTCACGATTGGCTGCTACTTCCCGGCGGATGTCAGGTGGTGCAATATTGGCTAAGCAGTGTAATTTCTCCAGTGGTGTAGGGCGCAGACACCCCGTTATAATGCGGCATGTCTCATTAAGAGCCACACCCACTGTTTTAGCGTGGTGAGATGTGTTCCACACTGGGCATGCATACTCAGCAGCAGAGTAGCACAGCGCAAGGGCAGATGTCTTCACTGTATGTGGTTGCAGGACAAGATTGATGGATAGTATCTTTGAAGTGACTGGCTTGTCCTTGAAAGAGCTGGGGGTGGCAACGGCCAACAGGGAGCTCTGGCGTGGGCTGGTCCGTGAGGTCATGAAAAGTCAGAAGCCACTGAACAAACAAACAACAACAAAAAGAATTACTACATTAAACTTTTGGTTCTGGAATCTGTTCATATAAAAGAGACTGGGAAGATAAAATTATAAAAGTGATAAATTATAAAAAATACTGTTAATATATAAAAAGCCCTTAAGAGGAAATGGTTGTCCTTAAAGGTGATCTAGAAAAGAGATCACTCTTGCCAGTGTCAAAAGAGCTAAATATGAGATACAATAGGAAGTGCCAAGAGCAATTACATCCGATTTGGGAATGGACATGACCATGCAATGTTTCAGGTAGTGGACTAAAGGAAGGGTTCTTTAGTCCTCTGTCCTAAAACACCTCATGGTCTTGTTGTTGTTGTTCTTGGACATTTGTTCAGTCGCTTTCAACTCTTCGTGACCTCATTAACCAGCCCACCCCAGAGCTCCCTGTCCGCCATCACTCCCAGCTCCTTTCAGAGTCAAGCCAGTTATTTCAAGGATTCCATCCATCCTCCTTGCCCTTGCTCGGCCCCTCTTCCTTTTTTATTTTCCCCAGCATCATTACCTTCTCTAAGCTTTCCTGTCTTCTCATGATGTGGCTAAAATACTTCATCTTTGCCTCGAATATTCTTCCCTCCAGTGAGCAGTCAGGCTTTATTTCCTGAAGTATGGACTGGTTGGATCCTCTCATTGCCCAAGGCACTCTCAGAACTTTCCTCCAGCACCACAGTTCAAAAGCCTCTCTCTTCCTTCGCTCAGCCTTCCCTATGGTCCAGCTCTCACATCCGTAGGTGATTACGGGGAATATCATTGCTTTAACTATGCGGATCTTCGTTGCCAGTGTGATGTCTTTACTCTTCAGTATTTTATCGAGATTGGCCATTGCTCTCCTCCCAAGAAGTAAACACCTTCTTATTTCCTGACTGCAGTCTGCGTCTGCAGTAATCTTTGCACCTAGAAATACAAAGTCTGTCACGGCCCCCACATTTTCTCCCTCTATTTGCCACTTGTCAATCATTCTTGTTGCCATCATCTTGGCTTTTTGGATGTTTAGCTGCAACCCATCTTTTGCACTTTTGGGTTAGCTTTTGCATTTTCTTCTTTCACCTTGATTAGAAGCCTCCTCAGCTCCTCACTTTCAGCCATCAAAGTGGTATCATCTTCATATCTCAGGTTGTTAATGTTTCTTCCAGCAATTTTCACCCCAGCCTTGCATTCGTCAAGCCCTGCACATCACATGATGTGTTCTGCATACAAGTTCGAATAGGTTGGGTGAGAGGATACAACCCTGCCGTATGCCTTTTCCAATCTTGAACCAGTCTGCTGTTCCATGGTCAGTTCTTACTGTTGCTACTTGGTCGTTATGCAGATTCCTCAGGAGAGAGACAAGGTAATTTGGTATGCCCAGACCACCAAGAACTTGCCACAATTTGTTACGATCCACGCAGTCAAAGACTTTAGAATAGTCAATAAAACAGAAATAGATGTTTTCCTGAAACTCCCTGCCTTCCTTATGGTCTTATCCATTCCCAAATCTATTGAATCAATTATTTTCCGAGTGTATAACTAAGATGGATGTTTGGTAGCATGGTTTCTTTTTTACAGGAGTTTTAACTGTGAGATATCAATAGTCTGTCATAGTAACTGTCAATTCCATTTGGCATATATTACTTTATTCTGTTAACTGTTCTTTTGTAGGAACAGTCCGAAGATAGTAAATATGACTACACTGATGTCTATCAACAAAATGTAAACCTTGAGGGCAAAGGTTTATGTGCTCGAGCTCTATATGACTATCAAGCTGGTAAGTTCTGCCTTCTCTGGTCACTTTTCAAATGAATCCTAGGATGAGCTACTATTTTGCCACTTATAAAGGCAAAACCCATAGCTGATGAAGCCAGAAAGCCAAATCACATGTGAAATAAATTTGTACTTGTTGCCACATTTTTCTTACCCTCAACAAAGATAGTAGTCATTTGAGAACATGACACGTATGAAGTAGATTAGAAACTCTGGCCTAATTTGGTTGTGAAAAGATGGATGGAAACGTAGCATAGTGAGGGTACTAGGAAAGAAGAACTAAAAATTAATAGAAGAGCATAACAATTATTCCTTCTGGCTTGCAAATATTTCCCTCCGTGCCATTGTTCTCACTTTGATACTAACTGGTACTGTCTTCATCTCGTTATCTACCATGAGAGCACAGGTGATGGTAATAATAATAATAATAATAATAATAATAATAATAATAATAATAATAATAGGATCACAAGCCAGAAAAAGTTACAGAGAATGAACACGCCAAACTCCTCTGGGACTCCCGGATTCAGACAGAGTTTTGGAGCATAATACTCCTGACCTAGTAAAGTGGCCTTTTGCAGCTGGTAGATGGTAATCTTGTCAGCACCAATTGTGTTTAACTGCAGGCCAAGGTCTTTAGGCACTGCCTCCAGTGTGCCGATCACCACTGGGACCACCTTGACTGGCTTGTGCCAGAGTTTTTGCAGTTAGATCTTTAAATCCTCATATTGTGTCAGCTTTTCCAGTTGTTTCTCTTTAATCCTGCTGTCGCCTGGGATTGCAACATCAATGATCCATACTTTGCTTTTTAACACGATCGTGAGATCAGGAGTATTATGCTCCAAAGCTCCGTCTGTCTGAATTCGGAAGTCCTAGAATAGCTTGACATGTTTATTATTATTATTATTATTATTATTATTATTATTATTATTATTATTTTACTGACACAAAGCCACAGTATGTCACAGCAGATGAGATCTATATGCTGGATTTTGTATCACAAAATCACAAGTCTAACACTTCCCAAGCATCTAGGACAGTGATGTATTTTTATATGTAATGTAATTATTATTATTATTATTATTATTATTGACACAAAAGCACAGTATGTCACAGCAAACGAGATCTCTATGCTGGATTTCGTATCACAAAATCACAAGTCGAACATTTCCCAAGCGTCTAGGACTGTGTGATGTAATAATAATAATAATAATAATAATTATTATTATTATTATTATTATTATTATTATTTGACCAGAGGTTGGGAAGATTACCGTTTTGGAGTGCCCTTTGCACCTTCTAAAATGCCATAGCCGGCAAAGTGAGTGGAGTTGTAGCTCTGTGTTTGTTCAAGCCCTGCGTTTTCCCTGGTGTGGCTTATCAAGGCTGGGCGGCATCCATCCTTTGTTATCTGCCATCCCGCTCTATAAGAATCCCTGTGAATATCATGTGTGAGTTAATTTGTTAGGAAATTGCATGTACTCGCCTTTTGCTGATTTTTAATAATTTGATTTCCACCCTCTTGAATTGTATCTGCCTTTCAGCTGATGACACTGAGATCTCTTTTGACCCTGAGAATATTATCACCAACATTGAGATGATCGACGAGGGCTGGTGGCGCGGTTACGGCCCCGACGGCCACTTTGGGATGTTCCCTGCCAACTACGTGGAGCTTATTGAGTAGCGGTCCACGCGCGGAGGGAGAACACGAGCAATACTTGAAGGAATGACTCTTGTCCAATCTGATTCTTTGAGGTGAAATTGTGTGTGGCTTTTCAAGGGTAAAGTGCCATTGCTGTGCCCTGTAGCCCTCTCTCTACCAGCCCAGTGATGCAGAACCGTTTCTTTGCCTTCTTTTGATTTTCAGGTGAAAATAGGAAATCAGTCTTGGCAGCATATAATAGTTTCCTTCTCCTAGGGCTAAAGGCATTGGCCTAAAATATCCTTTCCAGACACAGCAGGACCAAATTACTTTCTGAATATGGAGTATTCAGGAGATAGGAATGACTTAAGGAAAAGCAGAAGGGTTTTCTAATGCTGGCCATTCAAGTACAATTTCAGCTTTCTGAGATAGCATAAGGCGTCTTTTAAGATTGAGCCCTATCGTCCGCAACCCACTTAAACCAGAAGTTTGCCTTGGAGGAAATGGACTGTGAGTTCCAGCTTTTGGAGACCAGCCTTCTGGTGGCTGCTCAGGGCAAGTTCCTGATGGATCTGTGCAAGGTTTCTGCCGTATATTTGTGCAACTCCCTTCTATTTCAGTGAGTAAATTTTCAAAGGAGAAGCATGCCCTCAAACCACATCCTTTGTGTGAGGACCAAGCTGCTTGGATTTTAAAAGCTTGGACGTTTGGGTAATTTCTCCCCTTGCTTTAGAGCAGTGGTTCTCGACCTTCCTAATGCTGCGACCCCTTAATGCAGTTCCTCATGTTGTGGTGACCCCCAACCACAACACTATTTTTGCTACGACTTCATAACTGTAATTTTGCAACTGATTATGAATCATAATGTAAATATCTGATATGCACCAATACCCAATACACCCAAATTTGAATACTGGTGGGATTGATTTTGTCATTTGGGAGTTGTAGTTGCTGGGATTTATAGTTCATTTAACTCCCATGACCAACAGAAAATACTGGAAGCGTTTGGTGGGCATTGACCTTGAGAGTTGTAGTTCACCTACATCCAGAGACTAAGCTAGGATGGATCTGGACCAAATTTGACACAAATCCTCAATATGCCCAAATCTGAACACTGATGGAGTTTGGGGAAAATAGACCTTGATATTTGGGAATTGTAGTTGCTGGGATTTATAGGTCACCTACAATCAAAGAGCATTCTGAACTCCACCAACGATGCAATTGAACCAGATTGGGCACACATAACTCTCATGACCAACAGAAAATACTGGAAGGGTTTGGTAACATCCAGACATCCAGAGAGCATTGTGAACTCAAACAGTGATGTATCTGGACTAAACTTGGCACAAATACTCAGTATGCCCAAATATGAACACTGGTGGAGTTTGGGCAAAATAGACCTTGACATTTGGGAGTTGTAGATGGTGGAATTTATAGTTCACCTGTAATCAAAGAGCATTCTGAAGCCCACCAATGATACATTTTGGCCAAACTTCCCACACAACCCCCATGACCAACAGAAAATACTGTGTTTTCTGAATGATCTTTGGCTACCCCTTTGTCCCGACCCCCAGGTTGAGAAACACTGCTTTAGAGCAAAAGCCTTCTGCTCAAATTCCTTGAAACATGGATCCAAACACAAATGCCATGGAAGCAGGCAATAAACAAATGCCTTGGAAACAGTGCTAGCTTGGAAGTGTGGTGAGCGTTGCTTTAAATAGAGAAAGCTCGTGTATGCGTGTGTTGTGTTGCTTGGTTAGTAAAAGGGGACCTTGACTTCTGTGTTATCTTTTTGGGAACTCTAAAAAGCCTTATTGCCTTTAGATAGGATTTTGATTAATTTCCCACTCTTTTTTTTTAAACGAAGCAGAATATAAAGACAACATCTCGAATTGCTAAGTCAAGCAGGAGTGGTACAACTTTGTGCTGCAATAATTGTGTGGTACTTTGCATTGCTAATCTGCTATTTGTTTTGACGTCAAACGTGTTTGTGTCACATCTGGATTCAAACATTGCATTTGAAATGACATCTGTCGAACTTGCATGGCACATTGACTACAGGGGTAGGCAGTTTTGAAAAGGAAAATGAAGTGGTGTTCTTTATTTACTGTCCTAATTTTATATAGTTTTTAATACTGGTAGCCAGATTTTGTTCAAGCATGTCGACAATTTCAACAGAAATTAGGAAACCATGAAAATTGACAAAATCTGGCTACCAGTATTTTACAAAAACTCTAAAATTAGGACAGTAAATGAAGAACAGTATTCTGAAAACAGGGGAATTCCAGACAAGAAACAACCAGGGCCAGCTAACAAAGGAACAAAGGAAGGAAGGAGCCAGGTCTTGAAGATGCAAGGCTTTGCAATGTTAATCAAGGTGATTAATTGCAAATTTCACACTTGCCTCCAACAGACAAGAGTTCTTTCTCTCACCCTGGACATTATTCCACAGATATATAAACCTCTCTTGCTTAGTTTCCAATATACCTCACAACCAGAGCCAGCTAATACCTCCCAACAAAGGATTCCCCCAGTCAGGGAGCAGCCAGGCCTTGAAGCTGCAAGGCTTTGCAGTTCTAATCAAGGTGATTAAGTGCAACATTCACACTTGCTTCCAACGGGACCTTCTACAGAAACCATGAAAATGAAGAGAATTTGGCTACCGGTATTTTTTAAAACTCCAAAATCAAAACAGTAAATAAAGAGCAGCACTCTAAACACAAGGGAATTCCAGACATGAAACAATCAGGGCCAGCTGACACCACTCAACAGAGGATTACCCCAGTCAGGAAGCAGCCAGGCCTTGAAGCTGCAAGGCTTTGCAGTGTTAATCAACATGATTAATTGCATCATTCACATTTGCCTCCAATAGACAAGAGTTCTTTCTCCCACCCCGGACATTATTCCATAGATCTATAAACCTCACTTGCTTAGTTTCAAACATACCTCACAACCTCTGAGGATGCCTGCCAGTATTAAAAAAAACAAACCTAAAATTAAGACGGGAAATAAAGAACAACACTCTGAAAACAGGGGAATTCCAGACAGGAAATAACCAGGGTCAGCTAATACCTCCCAACAAAGGATTCCCCCAGTCAGGAAGCAGCCAGGCCTCGAAGCTGCAAGGCTTTGCAGTTCTAATCAAGGTGATTAATTGCAACATTCACACTTGCCTCCAACAGGCAAGAGTTCTTTCTCCCACCCTGGACTGTCTACAGATACATAAACCTCCCTTGCTTAGCTTCCAATATACCTCACAACCTCTGAGTATGCCTGCCATAGATGTGGGTGAAACGTCAGGAGAGAATGCTTCCGGAACATGGCCATACATTTCGGAAAACTCACAATAACCCATTATGCTATTTGCTTGACGGGTCAAAGCTAACGCTGTAGCGAGGTGGAATCCCATTCTCTCCTCCTTTTTTATGCATGATGTGATAACAATTATGTGAGCAAGGGATCTTAATGCCGCTCTCGGTTCATCTGCTCCAGCTTCTTTTCCTTTAATGGCAATTTGTAGAATGACGGTTTTAAAGATAGTCTGTGGGCCCCGCTCATTATTTCATTTCTAAATGTTCCTTTTGCTTTAATCTGTGGAAGCTGAACCTGAATTACCTACTTCATTTCTGGGAAAGGTTTCTGTTTTATCCCTTGTCCTCCCCTCCAGTGGTTTGCAAACACAGCTGGAGCCTTTTCAAAACGTGTCCTGTGGTAACTCTCCTTAAGACACATTACGGGGCCCTCCTCCTCCTCGTCCTTTTGGCTTAGCAGCTTTGAGGATTCTCGTGAGTGTACTTAAAGAAATCTATGCCCTTCTTTCTGTTACAATAGAGGAGTATGCCCTTGAGGATAGCTATAGCAGCCATCAGTGGCTTTCTAGGGATTCTTCAGAGCTACTTTTTTTTTATTAGGAATACGAAACATCATGCAGAATCATTGCTACTTCAGTTGTTGCTATTCACTGTGCCTCTTGCCTTTGTTCAGACCTCTTTTTCCAAACTGCCATGCATGAAGATTTGGGGTTGGGGGAAAACGCTTGTGACAGGACGGTATGAATAATAATAATAAAAAGTGTGGTGATTAAAACAATTCCCTACAAAGTGTGTATCTGTGTTTGTTTCAAGTGAATGTCCATTATTACTTAAAGGTAAAGGTTTCCCCTGACATTAGTTCTAGTCCTGTCCGACTCTGGAGGTGGTGCTCATCTCCATTTCTAAGCCGAAGAGCCAGCGTTGTCCGTAGACACCTCCAAGGTCATGTCACTGTTAACGGCAGTCTCTGAGGGTGTAACACGAGCACCTGCTTGTCCAGTTTTTTTTAAATATCTTTATTGAATTTTCTGTGACAAGATTAAAATCAGATAAAAGATAAAAAAAGAAAAAAAGGTGTGAAGAAGATAGAAAAGAGACAATAGTGGAGAGAAAAAAGAAAAAGAGAAGAATCATAGAATCAAAGAATTGGAAGAGACCTCACGGGGCCATCCAGTCCAACCCCCTGCCAAGAAGCAGGAATATTGCATTCAAATCACCCCTGACAGATGGCCATCCAGCCTCTGTTTAAAAGCTTCCAAAGGAGCCTCCACCACACTCCGGGGCAGAGAGTTCCACTGCTGAACGGCTCTCACAGTCAGGAAGTTCTTCCTCGTGTTCAGATGGAATCTCCTCGCTTGTAGTTTGAAGCCATTGCTCTGTGTCCTAGTCTCCAGGGAAGCAGAAAACAAGCTTGCTCCCTCCTCCCTGTGGCTTCCTCTCACATATTTATACATGGCTATCATATCACCTCTCAGCCTTCTCTTCAGGCTAAACATGCCCAGCCCCTTAAGCCGCTCCTCATAGGGCTTGTTCTCCAGACCCTTTATTATTTTAGTCGCCCTCCTCTGAACACATTCCAGCTTGTCAAGAGAAAAATAAATAAAATATAATAATAATAATAATAATAAAAAAATTGAAGATTTTCGTGACTTCCTGAGTATCTTGGGGGAGATGTTCTCCTTTTCTCTTTCTTCTACTCCTCTTTGTTTTTTCCGAAAAAAACAAAAAAACTTCTTCTTTCTTCAGGGGGTTGTTTGCCTTAGTTTAAATTATTGTCTTATAATTTTTCTCTTTTAACTAGTCAGTGATTTTTCCCCAATTTGTCTCTTCTGTCGGATTATCTTTACTTCTAGATAGTAGAAATGTAAGTCTATCCATGTTTCTGATGTCGAGCACTTTTTGTAGCCTGTCCTCCATGTCTGGTATTTCTTCCTTCTTCCATAGTTTAGCAAAACAAATCCTCGCCATTGTTGTTAGCAGAAATAATAATTTATCAGTGCTTTTTTTTCCATTTTTTGTGATTTCATTCCCAGCAGAAATAATTCAGATTTCAAGTGTTTGTCCAGTTTTGATGGATTTGTTTCATTCTGTGCAGTTCAAGGATGTGGACAAGGTTCTTGGAGAGGCGAGAGCGACCATATGCATCCTAGAACACTGCCCATTCTGGCTAGTAAAGGAACCCAGAGGGGGTTTGGCAGAGTGGGTCAAGGTGGTGGCTAATGCCTTTCTTTGGGAAGGCAATATTCCAGCGAGCTTAAAACAAGCTGTTATAAAACCGCTGTTGAAAAAACCATCACTGGACCCCATTCAATTAGTCAACTATCGGCCAGTTTCCAATCTCCCCTACTTGGGCAAAGTCCTGGAATGTGTGGTGGCCTTGCAACTACAGGAATTCTTGGTAGACACTGATAATGACATTTAAAAATGTATATTGGCTCTTGTTTTTATGATATAAGCAATCACGTGATCATGTATGGTCGAAAAAATGCATGTTGCGACTTACACTATGGAAGATTCTAGAAAGTTGCGGGCCTGAAAATAGCTGTTTTTTTTTTATGATTTTGGGGTGCTGAAAACGAAAATGACATTTAAAAATGTATATTGGCTCTAGTTTTTATGATATAAGCAATCGTGATCACGTATGGTTGAAAAAATGCATGTTGCGACTTACACTATGGAAGATTCTAGAATATTCTAGAAAGTTTGATGATGCAGTATTAGTGCCGTGTGCAAAAGCCAGAAAGCCCCATATAAGGCCAGACTTTTGAACGGTGAGGGTGTCAGTTGAAGACTGAGACAGTATCGTTAAACATCATTTTACATTGTTCTTTTTACTGTAGTTATGCCTCGCACATGTGTAAATAAAGCCCTATGGAAAAAAGATATCAAGGTAAATGGACTCTGTCAATGCTGTCAGACTCCTGCTGGAGCATTGTAAGAGACAATCCTTTCCTTGACTACAAAAGAAAAGTCAAGAAGAGCAAACAGGATATAAACTAAAGTCACGATTAAAGCGACATTTACACTTTCAGACTTTTCAACTGCATTAGGCCTACTAATATAGTTTCTTGCTGCACAAACATAAACAATCGACTAATTAAATAAATATTTCTCATGTATAAACTATTGGCAATATAATTTGACTAAAATTTAGTAAATATTCACGGTTTATATACATGCAGTACGGTTAGGCGCATTATCATAATATTAACGAATTACCTATTGTGAAGAAAATTGAAATAGCTGTTGCATAAAAACCAGAGCCAATTAACACATTTAATTATTATATTTGAATTCAGCATGTTAAGTTTATTAAGAAACGGCACATTTCATTTCCGCAACTGAGAAAAACTGAAAATTTGTAGAACTGGATCCGGCACAGTCTGGCTTCAGGCCGGGACATGGTACTGAGACAGCCTTGGTCGCCTTAGCGGATGATGTACGCCGGGAGCTCAACGGGGAGTTTGTCCCTGTTGGTTCTGCTGGACCTCTCATCAGCCTTCGATACCATCAACCACGGTATTCTTCTGGGACGCCTTGCAGGAATGGGCCTTGGGGGTACTGCCTTGCAGTGGCTCCAGTCCTTCCTCGAGGGTCGCTCCCAGAGAGTGTCATTAGGGGACTCCTGCTCGGCCCCACGGCCATTGTACAGTGGGGTCCCACAGGGTTCAGTACTGTCCCCTATATTATTCAACATATACATGAAGCTGTTGGGGGAGATCATCCAGAGTTTCGGGGTGCAGTGTCATCTGTACGCAGATGATGTCCAACTCTGTCACTCTTTCCCACCTGCTACTAAGGAGGCTGTTCAAGTCCTGGACCGGTGCTTGGCCGCTGTAATGGACTGGATGAGGCTGAATAAATTGAAACTAAATCCAGACAAGACAGAGGTACTCCTGGTCAGTTGCAAGGCTAAACAGGGCATACGGTTACAGCCTGTGCTTGATGGGGTTACAATAACCCTGAAGGCGCAAGTTCTCAGCTTGGGAGTGATCCTGGACTCATCGTTGAGCCTGGAACCCCAGGTCTCAGCGGTGGCTGGGAGAGCTTTTACACAGTTAAAACTTCTGTGCCAGCTGTGCCCGTACCTTGGGAAGTCTGACTTGGCCACGGTGGTCCATGCTCTGGTTACATCCTGTATAGATTACTGCAATGCTCTCTACGTGGGGTTTGCATCTGAAGACTGCCCAGAAGCTGCAATTAGTCCAGCGCTTGGCAGCCAGGCTACTAACGGGAGCTGGGTACAGGGAGCGCACAACTCCCTTGCTGCACCAGCTCCACTGGTTGCCAATTAGCTTCCGAGCACAATTCAAAGTGCTGGTTTTAACCTATAAGCCCCTATACGGTTCCGACCCAGTTTACCTGTCCGAACGTATTCTCCCCTATGAACCATCAAGGACGTTAAGATCTTCCGGAGAGGCCCTGCTCTCGGTCCCACCACCTTCACAAGCGTGTTTGGTGGGAACGAGAGACAGGGCCTTCTCTGTGGTGGCCCCTCGACTATGGAACTCTCCCGAGCGAGATTAGATCTGCCCCCTCCCTCTTGTCCTTCAGGAGGCTAATGAAATCCTGGTTATGGAACGAAGCATTCCCAGAATAATGGCTGAGACTGATTACAGACCAAAGTGAGTGACCACATATGCGAACTGAGTTGAACATGATTTTATCTTGGCGATTTGGTATATATCTATCTATATGTATTTTAATCTTGTATTGTTGTATGATGTTTTAACTTGTATTAGTAGCATTGAATCCTTGCTGTAAGCCAGTCTGAGTCCCTCTACGGAGGTGAGAAGATTGGGATATAAAAGTTTTAAATAAATAATAATAATGACTGCATGGAGCACTGTTACCTTCCCGCAATGGAACCCCCGGTGGTGCAGTGGGTTAAACCCTTCTGTCATTGAACACTGAGAAAACCAAAGTGCTCTTCCAGCAGTCACCAGCCAATCCCTCTCCAATGCCTTTGGTCCATGGTTTGCAAGAACTAAAAAATGATCCATGGCCTCACTGTTACTACACCATTGCAATAGGAGCGACTGGTCTCACGAAACCCTCTTATAGTGTGGACGCTTATTAAATATTCTAATAATATAATATAATATAATATATTGTATATACAGGTAATATTTATAATATTATAATGTAATGCAATATAATACTAATAATTGCATGATATTATAATTATATATTTATTTTACATGTAAAATTATTAATATTACCCTATAATGGCATAGTACAATATAATAATATTTAATACTGATATTGTACTATGCTAATAACATAATATATTCATAGAATCATAGAATCAAAGAGTTGGAAGAGACCTCATGGGCCATCCAGTCCAACCCCCTGCCAAGAAGCAGGAATATTGCATTCAAATCACCCCTGACAGATGGCCACCCAGCCTCTGTTTAAAAGCTTCCAAAGTAGAAGCCTCCACCACACTCCGGGGCAGAGAGTTCCACTGCTGAACGGCTCTCACAGGAAGTTCTTCCTCATGTTCAGATGGAATCTCCTTTCTTGTAGTTTGAAGCCATTGTTTCGCGTCCTAGTCTCCAGGGAAGCAGAAAACAAGCTTGCTCCCTCCTCTCTGTGGCTTCCTTTCACATATTTATACATGGCTATCATTTCTCCTCTCAGCCTTCTCTTCTTCAGGCTAAACATGCCCAGCTCCTTAAGCCGCTCCTCATAGGGCTTGTTCTCTAGACCCTTGATCATTTTAGTCGCCCTCCTCTGGACACATTCCAGCTTGTCAATATCTCTTGAATTGTGGTG